GTATTCACTATTGTTAATTTTTTGATTGCTAAAAAATATAAGAAATTATTGAATTTCATGAAAAAGATAAATACTTGCATTTTTTAACTGTGTAATCTTTTTTATATTTTTTTTGTAACTTAGAAGTTGAAATGTGAAAGATAATTAATTTTTGAAATTGAATAATTATATTAGTATCAACATATACAAGCTAGGAAGTATGAGAAGAATTGGAAAAAAAAAAAAAACATGATTTTTTCAATAAAAAAGCAAATGACAAAATTGCCCATGGACCTAACTCACATGTTTTGAATATGAAAAATAAGTTTATGTTATGATTTAACGGCCAAAAGTAATAGAATGAGCTCGCATGAATTTTTGGCTTAGTAAAGGGTCCTATTTCATAAATAAATTTGATTGATGACCCGTGATGAAATTACCTAATAATTTGATGACCTATTTTGTGGTTCACTCTGAAAAAAAAAAAAAAAAGAAATTAAAGTTGTTAGAAAGTTTTAACAAAGGTGCGGGTTTTGTTTACAAAAAGTTAAAATATAAACACCAATTAACTGGAATTATCTAAAAGTTTTTATATTTGTGGGTCGTATTCTTCATCTAAATGGCGCTGCAACTTCCAGCAACTGGTTAGACGACGGGCACAGCCACGCCTGAAAATTTCTGTCCAAGGACTAGTAACCCTCTCTAAAGTCTTCTTCACTAGAAACAACCCTCTTTTGGCATCTTTTTCTTCAAAATTGGGAGGGGGAAGTGGCTGGTTAAATCAAGCCTCTGGAACCATCAACACCTTCGGCTATACATAACCCTATGGGTATCCCCGGCCATCCGGAGGTTCAACGACACCTCCCCCTTCCCGGGCATTATGATGTTTCTGCCACTGCATGGCTTCAGTGTGATTCATTTATTTGTACTAAAATAACATAACAAATATAAGACAATTATTTTGAAACAAAGAAAACAATTTTGTAATACGAAATTAATAGAATAACCCTAAACATTATGTATAACATTCAAACTAATCACTATTCAAGTATGAAATGTATCTCTTATAAGACAAAACTCTCCAGATAAAATGATCAGTCAAGTAATCTAAAATTTTTTTAAAAAAAAAAAACACCTATTTTAAATATATGGCGATCTTGATATCGACCTCAATTTTTTCGCCCTGTAATCCTCTTGGTGAGACACACGCTACATGCACGGTTTCGTTCGATCAACACGTTTCTATTGACCTTATAATTTAGAATCGGAAAAAAAAAGAAAAAAAAAAAACTTCTTTTTGAATATCCACGCCGATCGTGATACCGGCGTGACCCTAATTTGGCATACCTCTTTGTAAGACACTCTTACTTGACATACACGGTTTCGCCCGATCGTGATACCGATGTATGCAAACATTGACTCTCAAGCATTGTTATTCCACAGTATTAAATTAACATGCACTCTTCTTTTTTGATTTCATTTTATATATATATATATATATATATATATATATATATATAAATCCAAGTTCAAGTATACATACACTGTCGTCATAGTCCATACACGTTGGTGAAATGCACAACATATAAAAATGTTTTCATATACTAAACATAATTTTTCTGTTTTTTATTAACCTACTTTTTATTGTATAAAAATGAACTTTGTCGTAAGGTACTGCAAATTGATATCCAAGGCGCATTATTATTTTTTGTAAGGTATTATGAAATTATAATATCAATAAAACACTACAATATGTTGTCATAGTGTGACTGATGTTCAAATTTGCCGACCAAAATATACACTACTTTTTCTTTCTCATTCATTTTTCTTAATGCTTCCGCATCCTAGATCTCCTCATACTAGTTTCACGCATCAATGGCATGTGTGATGGGGAAGCAGCAATATGAATCCATTTTCTTCAAAACTAATTAAAACTTTGATTTTTTTTTTTTTGAAAAACAAAAAAAAAAAGAAAAATCTTCGGAATATTGGAAAGCGGAATATCAACTCTTCTAATGTGAATTTTCTCTAACATTTATTGTCGAACGATCGATCGACTCTTTTGTAATAGTTTTAGGTTGGTTCTCAAGACATCGTGAGTGCTACACCCGAGTACACATACAAGAATATTCGGTAAAATCAATAGTTGTATAGAAAATTTCAAAAAAAAATAGAAAAGAAAAGAAGATGAAGTACTTAAAAAATAAATTTCTCCCGTCTCAAAAAAATAGTCCGTATAAGTTTAAAATTCATAGTAAAATCAATACAATATTAAAACTTAGCGTGGACTTTTTTTTTTAACAAAAGTAGTATCATAATTTGGATACTCGTGTACTATAATCCATTTTTGAAGGAAATTCAAGCTCGGTAGTTTAAGAGTTTGCATGGGGACTTTTACGATGTAATAAAAGCTCTTAAAGCCAAAAGTTGGTGATGAAAAACCAACAAAATGGTATAGATTAATCGGGCGGGTTTTGGGCATACTTAGAATCAAATTACTTAATCACAAATAAAAATAGAGTTCCAATTGCTTTGGAGGGTTTCAAGTTTCAACGCCCGTTACCTCAGAATTATGTTGAGATTGTTAATGTTTTTTCATTCACGAATTTTGCTTTGATTTTTTAAAAACTTTTGCATTGTAGAAAAACAATTGAAAAGAGAATATTCTTTGAAGTAAAAAAAAAAAAAAAAGGGAAATGAAAAAGATTGAGCAGAATTGGTGCACGTGCAGAGCATGCAACTACAGTTTGAGAAGCACGGCGACAATGGATTTATTATGGTTTACCCTTTTTTTTTTTTTGGCGTGATATGAAAAATACAGAGATACAGTTTTTTGGTTTTTTTTTTTTCGGACCTACAGTCTACCTACAAATAAGTGAAATAACAAAAGAACAGGAAATAAGGGCCCTTGCGTCTTTTTGACCATTGTCAAGCCGTCAACTATATGAATATGAATATATGATAATTTGGAGTACTTTTCGCTCTTTGGATCTGTTGTATTACATATCACGTGAAATTGACATGTCCACATATTATATCGGTAATTAAAATGATCGAGCATCCAAAAGAAATTATTCAATTAAACTGAAATAATTTGAACAAAAAAAATATGGTTGAACAAAGTAAATTATTTTTCTAGAATAGATATAAATTAGTTATATATATACTCCTTCCATTCCAAAATAAGTGTCGTTTTAGCAAAATGAAGAAATTCCAAAATAAGTGTTGTTTTCGGATTCTAATGCATTTTTTGTCAAAAATTTCCAAACATACCCTCAAAAGAAATAATATTACTAGTGAGCATTTATTTTAATAGGGTTGGTTGAGGATATTCTAATAATTTAGTTACCCTATTTAATATTTTTTAAATTGTGTACAAACTCTAGAATGATACTTATTTTGGTACGGAAGGAGTATATAACTAATAATATTTGTGACGTTGTTAACCAAGAGAAAAAAGAAAAAGAAAAAGAAATGTAATAGTCATGATTGAAAATCAAAAAGTCTTTTCCATTGATTTTGTCTTATATCTTTCAATATGTAACAGAAACATGTATGGATACAGAATACTTTAGATTTGTCAGAGTTAATATAAAGATTGTTATTTAACTTATCATGAACAGCAATAAATCAGAGCATCTCTAGTGTGCAACAAATCATTAATTGCTGCTTGCGCATCCATTATGGGCGCATCAAAGTAGATTGCAATAGCAATAAATATATATACTGGTGTAATCTGTTGTTTTGACAGCAAAGAGTAGTCTCCACCCTTTAGTATTTCCACAATGAAGCTAGACCTCAAAGTATTAGAGGTGAATTTTGCTTTCCAAATCCTTTCTCTATGGTAGAATTTTCTTTGTTGGCTGATAATCGGGTTTCTTCATTGTTTTTGACATTTTGGAGAAGCAAAAGGAAAAGGGTTCATTTGTATTTCTGAAAAAAGGCTTTTCAAAGATTCAAATGTTGGAATTTCAATGGGAAAATTGATAATATTAATAAAGACTGATCGTTAAAAAGAATGTATACAAAATATTCTTTTAATGTAAAAGATAGTATTGTGTGTTGGAGATAACATATCTAACCGTAACAAAAATGAAAATTTTGAAAATTTTGAGTGCAGCAAAATAGAGCAGCACTTAAGTTGCTCTAGGAGCTGTACAAGTTATATTTCTTTAGTGTAAACTAATGCAATTAATAAATGATTAAAATGGGTTGGATCAATAGAAGGAAAGCGTTTTAACATCTTTGTTATATAATATACACTAATTATAGCTACCTTCATCATTTACAATTATATGTGACATAAACACATTCTCCTCATGTTGTAATCAAATGAAAAGAAAAGAGAATATATTATTGCAGAAATCATGAACAATGAGTTTCGTCAATGTTGTTGATTAATTTTCATCTTAATTGATTAATTCCCAAGGCTATGCACCACATTGCTTTATCATATAGAAAATGATAGAGCCACACTAATATGATAGTTTCTGCACGACCCTTTGTAGTACCATACTCTTATAATATTGTTTAAAAAAGCTCTTTCTTCTATAAGTTCTGGAGAATGTATTACTATCAGCTGAGGAGTATTCCCCTCTGCGTAGGTATATTTGTTTTGTTTTTTTTAGTGTACGTTTTTAGGTGTTTTTTGTATTGAGAACGTAAAAAAATGATAGGCTGACTTTCTGGTCAACCTCTTTCTTCCATCAATGTAAAATCTACATAAGAAGCAAATTTTTTATTTTTTTTTTTCAGTATATATAGACATAACTAACCTTAAAGGAGACCAAAATTGATTCTCTAAATATTAAAGGAGTAATGTGGTCTAAACCAAGACAAAAATTAGCTCTCGGAACTAATTTCTGTTCTCATGAACAACTGCGGGGTAACTTATCTACAAGGTCTAACAGAGCAATGTCCTCGTCTCGATCGTTAAATCCGGACTTAACCCACGTGTTGCTAGTACACTCAACTGAAGCAGAGAAAGTAATCAACTTAGCAAGCACGTTCCTCCAGCAAAATCAATGTCGTTTCTTCTTGTTTGGTTCTGCTTCCTAGGAGCATTTTCCCAATGATGAACAGGAATTATACGTCCTGCTGCCTACCAATAGATTGAGTCTAATGACTGCATCTCTACTCTGAACTCAATCATACCTGTGGAGCATTCTCCATGTTACGGAGACTCCGCAATGCTGCTCTGATCTCCGACAGTAAATTGTCCACATTGTAGCCTTTCCTGAAATCCCCAACAGGCCAAGATGATGACTTTCAGATTGGAAGATGGAAAAAAAAAAAAAGTGACATTAATTTACCCTCATGAAGCACATTGATAAGTACCAACTTAAACATTTTAAGGGAAACAACATTGGTGACTTGTGCTTCTTGGTCAAAATATATAAGGAGATAGCACAGTATTTGCACACACAAGGCACAGAATTCAAACAAGACGTATTGCAAACTTACAGAACACTAACACCCACTACAGCAAGTGGGCGCGGGTAATCTTCAATCCCTTTGGTATCCCGGTCTTTATTAGCCATTTCCAAATCAAAACCATCAGCTTGGCCTACATCATTGCTCACAGACTGTACGGTAGTCGCACTCTCCACCCCGATACTCCGTATTTCTTCAGTTAAATATGGCAGTCTATCCATTGCCTAGAGTCACAGAATGGATCGTGTTAAGCCTTTTTAATTAGGACCTTGAGCAAGAATGCAGACAAGTCACTTGAAAACCCAAAATGTTGAAAGAATCAACTAAATCGAGATTGTGGAACAAGATACATGTATACAAAGAACTGCAAATACCCACCTCAGGGATGTCGATTTTATTCAGGACCACAATATATGGTCGCTCGAGATATTCAGGATTGTACATCCGCAACTCCTGAATTTAGATTTTCAGAAGTTAGAACATTCTAAAAGAATTATAACAGTATGATGATAATTACCAACAATAGATCTGATATCTACTTCATTTCTTCGACGGCTTAACCTAAAATTTGTAACCGATGTTCGAAACACACTTTTCTTAATCTCTTTTCTTATCTTTACATATTCTTTAGTTGGTTGACTGAATAAAGTTACAATACATTACAGTAAACTAAGAAGAACGGACCGACAAGGTAACAACTATAAAAAGCAGAACAAGAACTCATGCCATTAGACAATAACCGAAAAACAGATGACCCAAATCTATCAGAACTCATAAGCAAATTAAAAATTAACACAAGGAAAAATTCAACGGAGAAACTGTTGCAAAGAAATAATTCAAGATTAATGTTACTCGTACTTCTTTTATTGTCCGGTAATCTGCGACAGGATCATCTGAAGCTGCATCAATAACATGGACTAACAACCTAGTTCTCCTCAGATGCCTCAAAAAGTTGCGACCAAGCCCCTGAAAATTGCTATAACAGTAAATAATAATCTTAACAATGATTCTGTACGCAGCATCAATGTAAACACGAACCTACCTTCCCCAGATGAGCACCTTCAATAAGCCCAGGTAAGTCTGCCAAAGTAGCTTCTGATGAATATCTCCCTGCGCCTAAATTAGGGTCTCCATCAAGGCGTCCAAGGTTCGGCATCAAAGTTGTGAATGGGTAATCAGCAATGTCGGGCTTAGCTAGAGTGATGGATGCCAATAAAGTTGACTTCCCAGCATTCGGAAGCCCCTAGACATCAACAAAAGGAATAAATGTCAAACAGGATCACTCCAAATAAAAGTTTCCGAGCGTTACTCATGGTCACTTGCAAGGAGAATTTTTCTTTTATTCAGGCAAACAGGGACAGGTTAACCTAATTACAGCACTAAATACAGCTGGTAGAAACTATATGGATAAAAATGGTACTTACAACAAGACCAACATCGGCTACCACTCTTAGTATCAACTGCAAACTTATCTCCTCCCCAGGCTGGCCAAGAACTAAAACCTGTAAAAAAGCTGAGGATGAGTTTGAAGGTTGTTAATGTACGACTTGGTCTGCAAAGCAAAATGAAAAACATGCTTAAAAATATTCCTGCACCTTGGCCTTAACCATATAAAACTCTCGCAAGACCAGTCCACTCAATAGCTCTGTCTAATGTGTGGCTAGATAGTCCATAACATTTTAAATGATATACAGCAGCTCAATTTAATAAATATCAGAATGATAACTGACAAAACTCAGGTACTGATACGAAAAGTCCTAGGAGAATAGTTTCTACTTGAATGGTGCCATGACTATTTCTACAGATCTCAAACATCAGAAGAAGATTTTTGTGTTACCTTGTCACTCTCATCTCTCATCACATTTGTAGTTAAGGACATTGTTCTCTTTCTTCTGTGTTCTGGCACATCAAGCAAGCTGATCTGCCAAAGCAAAGGAAAAATCACACGGAGTAGAAACAGAACTATGTACTAAGAAACAAGGCTTGATTACGCTATAAATTCTTTGGTTATCACTTCATTGTATAACGCGATAGCTGTTAAAAAATATCAAGAAGGACCTAAGAACGAGTGTCATATGTTCCGCAAATATTTCTTACCCCTCCTTGACCTCCTCTTGCAACAAGAACTTCTTCACCTGGATTAGCTAAATCGGCCAGAAACTTCCCTTTCTTGTTCTTAACAACAGTACCTGTGAATTAAACAAAGATGATAAACTGATTATCTCACATCATAAACTTACCATTATCTACGGAACTATCAGTCGTGGATTAATTACTTCCAAGGCGGCACTCAATCAACATTACGAACCTAATGGTACTGGAATACGCAAAGTTGGTGCAGCAAGTCCATCGTGAATAAGAGATGTCAAGAGACCCATAGCATCAACATTTCCTCCACGCTTTGCTTTGAACCGATTATTCTTATGGAATTCCAATAATGTATCTTTGCTCTCATCAGCATAAATTACAACATCTCCACCATGTCCCCCAGTGGGGAGGATAAGGGATCCATCGAAATCCCTTTTATACGAACTCTTCCTCCTGGCCTTGTCTTTGTCAAACTTGCCTCGCGAATTTGAAGCAGGTTTCTGATTAGGCATACTCAAAACCGCACCATGGCCTCCATCCCCAGCACGAACAGTGATGACTACCTGATCAAAGTATTTGTGGGGTTCTTTTACCAAGTTTTCTTCAGAAGGAACAGAAAGCTCCTTCGTTTTAGTTATTGCACATCTCAAAGTGCAATTTTTAGAAAAGTTTTTCCTTCCATACCTTCGGGAAAACCCCACAAAAAATAAAAATTAACAATTAGAGGTCATCCAATATAGCTCCAAACAAAAAGGAGAATAAAGCAGGTAACTAAAACAGTAAAACTGCACAAATAAATCAATTTCTAACACTTGAGAACAGATTACTCAAGCTTTACTAACACTACTTAGCTTTACTGACAGAGCCATAAAATAGACAATCAAGCTAAACAAACACCAGAATTCAGGGAAATTCTTCAAAACCTAACATTGGTACGACGAAGATATTAAAGGAACAACTAAAGCAGCAGAAAAAAACACCACTTTTAACCAACAAAAAAACAGTTGGTTCTGAGTGAAAAGAAAGATGGTGGAACAGAGCTTTACAGATATGGAAGAGAACGTTGGGAAAAATTGACAGAGAGTGAGACCCAGGATTCATTGCCGCCAGATATTGTAGGATCTACGCCCCATTTCGGAGGAGAAACCAAGCACTGCATCTTCGCGCCCCCCAAAAGTATCTTCCGGAGTTTGGATAGAAGGAAGGAAGACGTTGCAGAAGGACAAGAAAAAAGAAAGGGGAAAAATGAAAAAGATCGCTGCAGCCTTGCAGGATATTTATTTTAGGCCCAGATATTTGGCCCGTGAAAACCAACAGCCATAATTACTAATTCAGGACTTTTTATAGTGGCTCAAATAGCAAGCCTAGCCCAAGACGGGGATCCGAGTCGAAGATTTTGTAACTCAACCTCGGAGTCGATTGCCATGGTGGGGGTACATATTTGGCAACCCCTCCACCAAAAGTACTAGATACAAGTGAATTCGAATAATGAAAAAACCTTAAATATTTTGGCCTACTGTTCTACCCATTAAGGTGCCTATAATTCAACGAGAAAATTAATCACTGTTGCCCTAACTTTATATATATATATATATATATATATATATATATATATATATATAACCTCGGAGACAATCAACTGAAACTTCCAACCATTCCATCTCTTGTCCCAATCTCTTTCCTTTCAACCCGTTTTCAAGGTTGATCCTCTGGAGAAAGGGGAAGACATGAGTCTGTGCGTTTGGAATACTAACACTAAGCGCTAAAATAATACTCTCTCCATTTCAAAATAAGTGTCATTCTACTCTTTGTACATAGTTTAAAAAACTCTTAAATAGAGTAATAAAATTACTTGAATATCCCCAACCAACCCCATTAAAAAAATATCCACTAATAATATTAATTCTTTCAAGGATAATTTTGAAAACTTTAGACAAAAAGTGCATTGAAATGTGAGACCGACACTTATTTTGAAATTTTTTCATTTTGCTAAAACGACACTTAATTTGGAACGGAGGGAGTACAAATAGTGAAATTTATGACTAGTGTCACGGACAGTTTTTCTTCACCATGAATTCGGGTGGTTTGATGCGAAACGGGCTATTTTCGTAGACGGACATGGGACGGAACGGTCTAGAGCCTTGTGGAATTTTCCGGTCAAATCTTGAAGACTCTGGAATTTTCTAGAGAGGCCCGGAACTCTCTAGAAACGAGTGGAACCGTATGGAAGCTACCCGAGTTTGCTAGAATCGTGTGGAAGATTCTAGAGACTTGTAGATATTTTGAACTTAGAATATTTTATTAGGAATTCTCTAGAATCCCATTATTTTATTATGTACATAGAATTCTCTAGAATTCTTTAGGACTTGGGGGGTTTGCCTATAAATACCCCATGCCCCCTCCATTTGTAACCATCCAAGCTTTGAGTAGAATTCTCAAGCATTCCTTAAGCTCTCTTGTGCCTTCATCATTCTTTCACTTTCGACCTTTCTTAAGTTTTTCTTTGCCTCCGTTCTTTAAAGTCTTGTCTAGCTTTGCACGCTTTGGGGGTCTTAAGGCTGAGCTAGCACTTGATCGTTAGTTGTTTTGTGCTAGTGCCGCACGGCCGTTACTTTGAAAAAGTAAGCCCGTGATGATTGGTATCGAGCCTCGGCTCGATACTTGGTGTGCTACATCGTCTACGCTTCCGTTTGTCGGTTTTCTTTCGTGCATAAGCTATGTCCAACCCTTCGGAGGTCGTTCAAGGGTCGGAGCTTGAGGGGATCATGTTTCCGCGAGGTGGGAGGACCACCCGCAAAGGAAGCCGCAAGGAGAAGTCGGTCGTTAGGGAGCCGATGGTGGAATTTGAGAAACGGCTTGCCAAGCTAGAGCTTGCGTGGCCGACCACCAAGACCGTTGGGACGAGCACCCCGAGGTGGTAGCAGGGTCGTCGAAGCTCGCATGGAGCGATTCGCAGGGAATTGCAAGAGGTCATGCAGCAAATGAAGGACGACATGCTAGGGACGCTCAACGAAATGGTGGAACGTTGCAACAAGTCGAAGGACGAAAGCCTTGCTCGTGTTGCCGCCCTCCAAGACGACGTCAACCGGCTTATGGGGAGCCGGAGACTTCTCGGGCAGAATCGGCGCGTCTTAAGGCACGGCTTGACACCGTGGCCGTGCAAGGGACAACCGGAGCCGTGGGGACGGTTCCAAGGCAAGCGCCCAAGCCGGACGAATACAAGGGCAGCCGTCGCTTGAGGGACGTAGAGAACTTTCTCTACAGTATGGAACGGTACTTTGGGGCTATGAATATCATGGACGACTCGGTAAGACTCTTCCAGGCCTCTCTTTATCTTAAAGATAGTGCCTTATCATGGTGGAAACGTATGATGAAACCCGTGGGGATGGAGACCGGTCTTCACCACGTGGGATGGTTTTAAGGAAGAGTTTAGAAAGTATTTCCTACCCGTGGATGCGGAAGACGAAGCCCGGGCCAAGCTTCGTCGTCTGCACCATAGGGAAGGACAAATCCGGGAATACGTTAAGGAATTTTCGGACTTGATGCTTGAAATTCGGATCTCGCCCAAGGAGGCATTCTTTACTTTCATGGACGGTCTCAACCGTTGGGCCAAACTTGAGCTACAACGGAGAGAAGTCCAGGACATCGATCGGGCGTTAAAGGTGGCCGAGTCGCTTGTTGAGTTCCAAAAGAAGGATAGCTCCAAGGACAAGGGCAAGAAGCCGTTCCAAGGCAAAGGTGGGGGAGACAAAGGGAAGTCTTCCACCCCATGGCCGGCAGCCGACTATACAAAGCCGTCTTCAAGCAAGGAGACCAAGGGGACAAGCCAAAGAAGTTTCAAGGGTGCTTCTTGTGCGGGAGCGCACATGGCACGTGATTGCCCGTCTCGTTCGAAGTTGGCAGCATTGGCACAAGGTTTGTGCCAAGAAGAGGAGAAACGGGTCGCTTGCATGAAACGGCTAGATGCCGTGCATGCCAAGGCCGAGACACGTCAAGGCCGTCTTTACATGGAGGCATCGTTCGCAAACGGGTCTAGATGGGGCATGCTAGACACGGGGGCCGACACGAGTTATCTCACGGAAGAGGTAGCCCGTTCGCTTGGCGTCAAGTGGACACCTAGCAAAGGCCGTTTCAAGGGCGTGAACGGCGAATGGACGGGTCTTGTAGGCGGCCGTGGATGTGCCTCTTAAAATCGGCAAGAAGTCGGTCGCACGGCTAATTTCTCCATTGCACCTATGGATGATTATGGTCTTGTGTTTGGCATGGAGTTTTAGACCGAGTAAAGCCGATCATCGTGCCTAGCAACGACACGATGGTGATCCTCCAAGGCGAGAAGCCTTGTGTGGTAAAGTTTAGACGGAAAATGAGATTAGCCCTTCCCACCTGAACAAGGGGCTAAAACGGGTGAACACACCTTTGCCGCCATGGTGTTTGAGGAGGAACCATGCACAGAGGAGCCGGCAAAGGAGGAACGAATCCCGCCTCCCATAGAGCAAGTCCTTGTTGAGTTCAAGGACGTGATGCCCGACGATTTGCCCAAAGGTCTTCCACCAAGGAGGAGGTTGATCATGCCATCGAGTTGGTGGACGGGCAAAACCGATAGCCAAGGTGCCTTATCGTATGTCCCCTAGCGAGCTAGAGGAGCTCAAGGTGCAAATCAAGGAGCTACTTGAATCGGGTCATGCAAGGCCGTCTAAAAGTCCGTGGGGTTCGCGGCCTTGTTCCAACGCAAGAAAGATGGGACGCTACGTTTGTGCATCGACTATCGGGCGTTAAACAAGCTAACCGTGAAGAACAAGTACCCTATCCCACTTATAGCGGACTTGTTCGACCGGCCGCAACGGCACGGATCTTTTCCAAGCTAGACTTGCGGAAGGGATACTACCAAGTACGCATAGTACCGGTGATGAACCGAAACGGCCATGGTGACGAGGTATGGCTCTTATGAGTTTCTTGTTATGCCGTTCGGTTTAACTAACGCCCACCACGTTTTGCACTTTGATGCAACGTGTGCTAGCGGATTTCATTGATAAGTTCGTTGTAGTATACTTGGACGACATCGTTATCTATAGTAACACAATGAAGGAGCATGTGGAGCATCTTAGAGCCGTTTTCAAGTCCTTAGGGAAAACCACTCTATGTTAAAAGGAGAAGTGTTCCTTCGGCCTTGAGGAGGTGTCGTTCTTGGGACACATCATTGGTGGGGCAAAATCCGCATGGATCCGGCCAAAATCAAAGCTATCGTGGAGTGGGAGGCACCCACGAAGCCAACGGAGCCGAGATCGTTCTTGGGGCTTGTTAATTACTATCGGCGGTTCATTGAAGGACACTCCGCCATAGCCGCTCCATTAACGGATCTCTTGAAAAGGGCAAGCTTGGTGTTGGACACCAAAACACCAAACAACGTTCGAGGCTTTAAAGGACGCCGTCACTCGAGAGCCGATCCTAGCTCTCCCCGATTTTGAGAAACCGTTCGAGGTGTGCACGGACGCCGGACTTCGCCATTGGGGCGTTCTCATGCAAGATGGTCACCCGATCGCCTTTGAAAGTCGCAAGCTGAACGAGACCGAGAAAAGGTGGCCGACGCACGAGAAGGAGATGTTGGCTATAGTTCACTGCCTTAGAGTTTGGGAGCATTACTTGAAGGCCGCCACACCGTTCAAGATCAAGACGGATAATCGGGCAGTGAGCTACCATCAAAGCCAACCTAAGCTTTCAAGCAAGCAAGCGCGTTGGTTGGACTTCTTGGCCGAGTTTAAATACGAGCTTGAGTATAGCCCGGGGAAGACTAACCACGTGGCCGACGCGTTAAGCCGAAAGGCGTGTCTTGCGCCAATCGTTAGCATACCCGAAGGGATGTTGGTTGATCGCATCAAGAAGGGTCTTGAGCACGACCGTCAAGCCCAAAGGTTCATGGAGCTCGTGAAGGAAGGCAAGACAACACGGTTCTGGCTTGAGGATGGGATACTTTATGCCAAGGGGAACCGTTTGTACGTGCCCGCATGGGATGGACTTAGAAGGGAGATTCTAAGGGATTGCCATGATAGCCGTTATGCGGGTCACCCAGGTACGCATCGCACACTTGCCTTAGTCCATGAACGGTTCTATTGGCCTCGCATGCGGGAAGACGTGGAGACGTATGTAAGGACTTGTCTAGTTTGCCAACAAGACAAGACCGAGCAAGACCTCCCGCATGGCTTGTTATCACCCTTGCCTATTCCGAACGCCCGTGGGACAGCGTTTCGATGGATTTCATCGTGAGCCCGCCCGTTTCCGAGGGTTGCACCAACATACTTGTTGTGGTAGACCGTTTGTCTAAGTATGCGGTCTTCATTCCCGCCCCAAAAGAGTGCACCGCGGAGATAACGGCCAAACTCTTTCTTAGGCATGTGGTGAAGTATTGGGGCTGCCTACATCGATCATAAGCGACGAGGACTCGAGGTTCACCGGCCGTTTTGGCAAGAACTCTTTCGTTTGCTTGGGACGGAGCTCAAGATGTCTACATCTTTGCACCCGCAAACAGATGGGCGACAGAGCGCATCAACGGCCTCTTGGAGGTGTATCTCGAGCACTATGTGGCAGCCAACCGAAAGATTGGGTACATTTGCTAGACGTTGCCCAATTTTCCTATAACTTGATGCGGAGTGAGAGCACGGGCAAAAGTCCGTTTGAGATTGTCCTTGGTTTCCAACCAACTACGCCTAAGGACATTCTTGGGGGCTATAAGGGCAATAGCCCACCCGCATACAAGTTTGCCAAAGATTGGCAAGAACGGGCCGACGAGGCAAAACTCTACTTGGAGAAGTCGGCCGCACGCATGAAGAAATGGGCGGATAAGAAACGGACCGTCGCGAGTTTGAAGAAGGCGACCAAGTCTTGGTGAAGCTTTATGAGCATGGACGGAGCCGTGGTCTACACAAGGGTCTCATGCGCGAGATACGAGGTCCTTTCACCGTTCTTAAGAAAGTGGGTTCGGTTGCTTACAAGTGGAGCTACCCGAGGCCTTCTCAAGGCTTCATCCAGTCTTTCATGTGAGCCTACTTAAGCCATACCGCAAGGACCCGGAGGACGAAGAACGGAACGTTTCCACAAGGGCACCAGGTGGCGTACGCGAGCATGAGGAACGGACCGCAGAGGAGATCCTTTCTAAGAGGATCGTTCGGGCGGGAGCGGGCAAAGAACTAAAGAATACTTGGTGAAATGGAAGAATTTGCCAATGAGTGAGACGAGTTGGGAGCCAATCGAGAAGCTTTGGCAATTCACCAAATTGATCGAGGACTTTGAGGAGAATCGTGCACCGTTCCTATCAACATTGCCTTCGAGACTTAGGTGCATCGGGCGATGCACCATTTTGGTGGGGAGGATGTCACGGACAGTTTTCTTCACCATGAATTCGGGTGGTTTGATGCGAAACGGCTATTTTCGTAGACGGACATGGGACGGAACGGTCTAGAGCCTTGTGGAATTTTCGGTCAAATCTTGAAGACTCGGAATTTTCTAGAGAGGCCGGAACTCTCTAGAAACGAGTGGAACCGTATGGAAGCTACTCAGTTTGCTAGAATCGTGTGGAAGATTCTGAGACTTGTAGATATTTTGAACTTAGAATATTTTATTAGGAATTCTCTAGAATCCCATTATTTTATTATGTACATAGAATTCTCTAGAATTCTTTAGGACTTGGGGGGTTTGCCTATAAATACCCCATGCCCCCTCCATTTGTAACCATCCAAGCTTTGAGTAGAATTCTCAAGCATTCCTTAAGCTCTCTTGTGCCTTCATCATTCTTTCACTTTCGACCTTTCTTAAGTTTTTCTTTGCCTCCGTTCTTTAAAGTCTTGTCTAGCTTTGCACGCTTTGGGGGTCTTAAGGCTGAGCTAGCACTTGATCGTTAGTTGTTTTGTGCTAGTGCCGCACGGCCGTTACTTTGAAAAAGTAAGCCCGTGACACTAGTGAATAATAGTCCTCGGAATCAGAAAACGATATAATTGTATGGAACGGAGGGAGTACAAATAGTGAAATTTATGACTAGTGAATAATAATCCTCGGAATCAGAAAACGATATAATTGTATGTATATCACGTCAGTCACCGTCCTATTTTATAAAGTTGTAATCCAATGCATTCAGTAGAAGAGTAAGGAGAAATATTGCATTCTGTTGGAAGTCGACTATGTCACAATTCATAAATCAATGATGAGCAAAAGCAAAATTCCACTACCATTTTACAGACACAGTTCACTAATTTGGGTCAGCCTCTTAAAACTTCATCTCATCCAGTTCCCAAACGAAGTCAGGCTCCCTTCTGTTATATCATAAATAACAAGGGAGAGACATCAATCCAAAGAGCGTTGTTCTTCATGATTAGGAAAAAGCTTTTAAGATGCAGAAAATTGTACACTTCTTCGACTCATAAAACTTCTCCTATTTCAAGAACAGATTGACGGCCACAAAATCATCCTCGACAAGACCACTTGAGCAACGATAGGGATGCCAAACACTTGATCAGGGGTTCACAACTAGCTTTTAATGAAGTCCTTCAAGGAAAATGGTGTATGCCCTTCCTAGGAATTCACAAGGAAACAAATAATAAGCAATAGGCCACAGAAATAAGTGGAAATCCTAAAAAGCGTAACATCAGACAAGGAAACATTTTTTTTTACAAGTAACAAAAGATAAACCTTCCTCTTAACTTCAAAGTGACATTTACAACATACATTATCGAAAGTGGATAAAAATATTAGAATTTGTTCAGGGAAAATCTCTTCTCTTTTTTTTTTAACAACCTTTTGCTTGACTTCTAAATGACATAATTAAAGCTTTACAATCATCCAGAACTAATAAAGGAGAAAGTAATGAAATCAAACCTGGCCACATTCTTGGCTCAAGCATTGTCTAACAACAGTTGTCTGCTGTATCAGCCTTTCCAGTGCAGAATGGCTGGGTAGATTGGCATGTTCTGGCATCAAAAGGAAATCAATGAACACATAATAAACATCGACATTTTCATACAAAGAGAGGAGATAAACATTAAATATGTGAAAAACAACGATATTTTCCAGAGAGGAAACACCCACACAGACCAAGAATTGCTCGATTCAAAAAGTCTGCAACCTGCTGCCGGTAATCTGCGCTTAAAAGATAAAACATTGGAGAGTTCTTGGGCTCTTCATAAGCCAGTAGAGCAATGAAGTCCTGATAAAAAAATTCACCTAAGCCATCGGAAAAGCAATCTTTGAAATTGAAACCAAAATGTCAAGAAACTTGCTTTAAAAAGAAAGAACATACCTCAAGCTTTTTAAGATGTTTCTGAACCTTCCCAAAAGGAGTCAACTTTGATTGAGCAAATTCCAGTGCTTCTGTGCTGCCACGGGGATAAAAGTTCAGCCAAGAATAACCAATAAGATATAAAAAGTTTCAGAAAGGGCCATATGAACCTACTCACCATTTCCTGGAGGAGACAAGTTCAACAAAATGAAGGCTTAAAAGATCAAAATGTAGATCCTTGTTTTTCTCTAACAACTCAGGCGCAAGCTGTCCGATCAATTCAATTGCCTTCAGAGCATCCCCCTCCAGGGCAAAATGAAGTATTTCTGAAATTAAAAGGTGCAAAAATAAATGCTATCAGCAATTTAGGAAACAAAGAAGACTGGAAACTCAGAAAGTCAGAGCAACCTCATGGCACTCTGAAGATGCAAATTCAGGGCAATGCAAGTACCAACTTCACAAACTCCGATGCCGTTATTATAGCAAGAAAAAGGAAAAACCTCAAAATATTCAGCAGGCATAGCAAGACAAGTAAACATCAACTATTAGGTGGCATTTCAGTGATACAACCTTTACCATCAAACACGGTGGATAATTCACAAAAATATACACAAGGAAAATAAATAATGCCCAAGAAGTAAAAGAACATACAACAATATCTACAAAATTTGCTGACTACATCAAGCATCAGCTTTCAAATTTTCCAACAAATAAAAAAGCATGCTTTTTGAGTCACAGAACATTCCATTCTATATCAAAGCTTATGTACAACGTGCGTACTTTTTCTTTGCTCCATGCTCTCAAGACTATCAGCAGACTGCTTCATCCCAGTACAAGATGTGAATGATTCCACAGTTTCATTGAAGCAATTATGCACTAGATAAGATAGGACAACGTTATGGATATCACTCTCCTTTACCGCCTGCCAACAAAGCATTACGATAGAGAATACAAACGTTAGAGCTTTACCACAGAACAACAATAACACGACAGAAACTTTTACAACCATCATCCAAATGTGTTTTTGCATTGACTATGAATATATAAATGACATGTGGAATGCTGCACCGAGAAAAGGTCATGCAAATTTCAGGAAAGATATTAAAGGTTTGGATATCCCCAGAAGGCTGGAACGGTAAAATGTCAGAACCATATAACAATTCACACGATCGCAACTTGCAAGGTTTGTTTTGCTTGTTCCACATAGTTCAGATCCCAAAGAATTTTGTGAATCATGAAATGGAACAACAAAGAGGATCAAACTATTAGCATTTTGCAGTTGTAGCACTTCAAGTGCGAAGAAGTGGTAATAGACCTAGATACTCGTCCGTAAACATTAACTCAGATGACATGCGTATCCAATTTGATCAAGGGCTAAATATTTCATACAAGTGATTAAATTATGGGAAATGTCATAACTTGAGGATCCTAGACTCCAAGACAAACAAAGACTTTACCATTTTTTAACAAAAAAGTGGACTTACCAAGGATAACCATGCGACACAGACACCAATGAAAGATTAGATTTCTTTAGCATTAACCATCCAACAAACAAAAAGTGCAGACACAAGGGGGCAGCAAGGAATACGTCCTACATACCCTATGGAACATTTTCCCTTGGCACAATGATCCTTAAACATCAGACATTTTACTATAACAACAATCAACCCCTAAGCATAATTAATCAATAAAAAATATATGCTGATCCTTGCTCCATACCAATGTCTAGATAGTTAACCATGCCTATACCTCAATTTTTCATTTAACAAAAAGTAAAATATGATTCCATAAAGAAAGCTACGGCTTTGCTAATAAAATTTGCCAGCAAAATTTTCCAATAGACAAACCAGTACTGCATCAGAAATTTGTCATCTTTTTGGGGCTACAACAGAAAAACACAGCAAAAGTAAATGTCATCGAAATTCGAGTGGCATAACGTCATCGAAACCCCAAATTCCCCAAGGAGCCCAAACGGAAATTGCGCACAAGTGACTCCCAGGAAGTCAACATCAACACTAAAACCCAACAGAAAAAAAGGAAAAGAAGAACCCAAATTCACGAAGAAAACATCGCAGAAAACATAAAAACAAAGCCTCGGATGAGCAACCATTCGTGAAAAAAAAAAAAAGGTAACTTACTAAGTTCTCGTATTGCCGAGGATCAACATCCATCATTGCCGCCGACAAAAAATTTCTTGAAGTGGAGGATTAACGTCAATTTTCTGGAAGCAAAAAAAAAAAAAAAAAAACCCAACTTGAAAGTTCCGGATACGTGCTCAATGCTTCGCTAGTCTCTGTGTGTATCTGCCGCAGGGGTGACAGTAAATAATGTTTTCTTTTGTGCCTTTGTCAAAAGATTCTCCTATGAGGACAATGAATAATGGAACCGATCTTTCCAGGGAGACGCGGTAAAAAGTGAATCCAAGAAGAACTACCTTTTTATACTACTTCTTCTTCTGGGTTTTCTTCTTCGTTTTGGTCAAAGGTTAAAATTTTAGTCGAATTGGGGGAGTTTATGAAGAAGGGTTTAGCGGATAAGGGAAGGTGCTGAGGACGTATTTAGTAAATTAATAAAATTTTATAATACTATTAATTAGGGAAATAAGTAATCGAGTACTCCAAAATCCAAATTTATTTACTAATGACTCAGAATTTTCTGTGATTTTAATTTGACTTGCCTTTTGTTGGGTTTTTTGAAACAAATATCCTCATGACAAATGTTCTTCCTCTTTCTTTCGGGAAAAAAGAATTTTCTTTTCTCTATAACATCAAATACATCAATGAGTCCTTGTAGAATTATAGGATTTTTTTTTTTCCGTGACAGCTTTTTTTCGTTCAAACGATAATCAAATTTTATTAAAAAAAAAATTTATCAAAATACATAAAATTGTACGAGAATTGTATAAGGAACATCTAAATCTAGCCATGATGGCTAACTTGTATGAAGAACAACTAAATTTTATTTCAATGATGGCTTGAGAAAAAGGATTTTAATCCAAACTTCACAATTGTTACACAAATACTCCATCTGGTCCTTAATATAAGACATTTTGATTTGTTCTAGATTTAATCTAGTACGTATTTTTAATGACAAATCAAAATGCCTTAAAAATACGTACTAGGCGAAACTTAAGACAAATCAAAATGCCTTATATTAAGGACCGGAAGGAATACAAAACTAGAATTTTATAATAAGAGTAGACTAAGAACATATTGTACAATTGGTGAGTGGGACTTGGGAGGGTTGAGTGGGGTGGTTAGGGGATTAGGTTCGAGGATGGTTATTACCAGGAGGTCGAGGGTTCGATTATCGTTGGGGTCATTCATTTTTTCTTAAAAAAAAAAAAACAGATTTTACAATTGGTAGATAGTATAGGGGGTATTATGCAATATAACTAAAATTTAACCAGAAGGGCAGAATTGGACCAATTGACGACGAGCGGATGTCACTCTCCCTTTGTTGTGGGCTGCAGAAAGCTGGGAAGTTTCCCTGCTCGAAAGTTCCAACAAAATTTGCCCACGTTTTCTCCACACTCATCACTCAAACCTCCTTCCAGTACCCACATTCCTTGTAGAATTCACACTATCTCCGAGAACCCCAATAATCAAAAACTACTTTCAAATCCTCCTACCCAAAAGAAACTAGAAAAAATGAGCTGCCAATGGCCATTGTTGATGCTTGTTCTGCTGTTTTCTCTGCCCATCATATGCCAATCTTCTTCACTCACAATCACTGCTGATCTGTTTGAAGATTGGTGCAAACAGTATGGGAAAACATACTCGTCTGAGCAAGAGAAGCAGTTTAGATTCAAAGTGTTTGAAGACAACTATGACTATGTCACTAAACACAACTCCATGCCTAATTCAACTTACACACTTTCCCTCAATGCATTTGCTGATCTCACTCACCAGGAGTTCAGGGCAGCTTACTTGGGCCTCTCTGTTTCTGCCAATGATTCCATAATTAGGTTGAACAATCGAGAGTCAACTTCAGATGGGCTTCATGATGGTGATATTCCTTCCTCCATCGATTGGAGGAAAAAAGGGGCCGTCACAAAAGTCAAAGACCAAGGCAATTGTGGTGTGTCAGTTGTTTCTTGAATGACTTCATTATTAGTCCTATTTTTCCGTGTCAAGATTCTGTATCTCATGATCTGTGTGGATTTATGCTGTAAAGTTCTGTTCTTTTTTTCTTTTTTTCTTTTTACTATTTTTAGTTAGTTACTGTGATGAGGTTTTTCTCAATGAAGTGTGGATACATTGTCTTCACTTAATAGTTTCCGTAAGCTAACACTCTTGCCTGATATCTTTAATATTGTTGATTCATCTGATAGGTTGAGGAAATGTAGTTAGTTTAGAACATATGGGAATCATTCCAAGCTGGTCCAAAATAGTATTCTGCAGTTAGGCTAGATCTGTTTCCATAACATTCTTTCATGCAAAACTGTGTACTTACATTAAGGCTTGCGTGTAGAACCATATAGCACGTTAGTTTGTAGGAGTTACTGTTGTGAAGTATTGAAATTAGCAGCAATGGTAGTATGCAGTAACAGTGAGCTATGGATATTTGTCTCTTGTTGATAGACAATAAAACAATTACGGCATTTTGACTAAAGTTTCTGTTTCTTAGGAGCATGTTGGGCATTTTCGGCTACAGGGGCAATGGAAGGCATCAACAAGATTGTCAGTGGATCCCTAGTCAGTCTGTCTGAGCAGGAGTTGATTGATTGTGATAAATCCTATAATAATGGATGTGATGGAGGACTGATGGATTATGCGTTTCAATTCGTCAAGAAAAATCACGGAATTGACACAGAAGACGATTACCCTTATCAAGGTCGCTCAAGAACATGCAATAGTAACAAGGTTTCCTAGCTCCTGCACAGTCTATCTGTACTTATTGCTTGACGTGGAATTCCTAGTTGATTTTTGGTTAAGACTTGGCTCTTGGTTTCCCTTGCAGTTGAAAAGGCGTGTTGTGACAATTGATGGCTATCAGGATGTTGATCCAAGAAATGAGAAAAAGCTTCTAAAAGCCGTGGCAAAACAACCTGTGAGTGTAGGCATATGTGGCAGCGAAAGAGGCTTTCAGTTGTATTCAAGGGTTAGTTCTTTTTCTTTAATTTTATAGAATTTCAGTTACTTAATGCAGAATGGAGGCATAATATTTGCAAATGCATATGGTAGGGTATATTTACAGGGCCATGCTCCATTGAGTTGGATCATGCTGTTTTGATTGTTGGTTATGATTCTGAAGATGGAGTGGATTATTGGATTGTGAAAAATTCTTGGGGAACAAGTTGGGGAATCAATGGCTATATTCACATGGCTCGTAACAGTGGCGATGCAAATGGAATCTGTGGGATTAACTTGCTGCCTTCCTACCCTCTTAAAACTAGCCCAAATCCTCCACCATCGCCTCCTCCAGGGCCTACAAAGTGTGATCTCATTTCATCATGCCCTGAAGGTCAAACCTGTTGCTGTTCCTGGAGTTTGTTTGGGCTATGCTTATCATGGAGATGTTGTGATTTGAATTCTGCTGTATGCTGCAATGATCACCATCACTGCTGCCCTCATGATTATCCAATTTGTGATACACAAAATAAGTTATGTCTCAAGGTATGAATTTGGTTTGGTTATCATTTCACCTTTCCTTGAATGTGAAGATTTTTGTCTAAAGTGAGGAGCAGAATACTAGATGAAGCATTCATAATAAAATTATCGATTCGTTTACCAAAATCGTGAACTGCAGGATGCAAGAAAGTGAATAGTGTCTGGTGTATTTTTTCTTTTCTTTTATTTTTTTCAGCTGGTTAAGCTTGTGTTGACTTTGGTCCTTGGATAAATGATGTTATGCAACCTTAGGTAATAGGTTTAGAGTCACAAAACCATTCCTCATAGAAATTGTACTGTTGGAAGCATAAGGTAAAGGCTAAAGTTGCATGTGTTAGTCATTAATAGTCCGATCCTGCACACACCTGTGCTTTTATGCTGCTGTCTCTTTTAATTCTTCCTATCCTGTGCTTTTAATCTCCGCAATGAGACACATTTTGTGCTATATGTATTACTATTTCAATGTGTTACGTGATTGTGAAAGTTTAGTCTCTCATCTTCTTCCACTGCACATAATACTTTTTAAATGTGATTGCAGAAAGCTGGGAATTTCACTATGGTTAAACAGCTTCAGAATGGAGGCATGTCGGGGAAATTTGGTGGCTGGAGTTCTGTCTTTGTGAATTGGAACTTTTGAGTATACCTGCTGACAGGGCATTCTTTTTGAACCATGTCCTCATTACTAGATGCAACATAGGTTAATAATTACCACATTTAATTAGCTTGGGAGCAGGGTTGAATAAGCTTGTCTACATTGTTAATTTTAAGCTAATATACATAGTTGTATAAGATATACGGTAAATATCTAGATAAAGGGATAAAGAGATTTGATTTCAGTTTGGTGGAGCTTCAGCAATGTATAATATAATGTATTGCATTAATTTGAAACCCTTCTTCTCCTATTGAAGCTCATGATCGGATGACCCTGTTACAGTAGATTTGATCACAAAATTGCTTGTTTTATCTCAAATGTAAAAGACAACTGCTAGTAATGATCGAAGTTCACTGGGTATGAAACTGGAGCGCATTGTCTGTGATCACATCTCGATCTGTTGTGCCAACGAAGTTTATTACTTTCTCACTTTCTGTCTCTGAACTTTTGCTTCCCATTATTTGAATACCGAGCTGCGCATAACCTAGCAATAGGATGAAACAAAACAGATGTTAACCTACAGCACCTCTCAGTGCTCTTACAGGGTTTAATGTCATGAGTTCATTTGGAAATCATCTGGTATTTTATGTCCTTTGACTTTGTATAACTTGTTTGCCATGAGTCGTCTGACTTTGTACAACTTGTTTGCCATGAAGTGCACTTCACCATGGCCGATGAGGTTCAGTCAAGACTAGTAGTTCATAAATGTGCTTCTGGTATGATATTTTCTTTTGGAAGCTAGCTCTGATAGATTGTCCTTACAGTCATGGGAGCAGCCAGGATAAGCAGACTGTAAAGAGCTAAACAAATTACAGTCAAATGTTGCAAACTTGCAAAATGGATCGAATAAGATAAGAAGAAACCTTTTAGACCAGGTTCAGAGTCTGAAACAAAATAAGTTTAGTGTGTTGCCAATACTCTGTTCTGCAGAGGACCTCTGGCTTGCAGGAAAATGGTTTTTTTCTGGAATGCCAAAACTCAGTTGAACAGACGAGTCCATTTCTTTAAGAGCACTAACTTTAGGATGGCTAAAACCAACTTCATCTTTGCAATGAAGTAACTTCCTCAGCTACTTTCACACTCCCCCTTTTCACTACACGTGCAAAGGCTAGAGATCCCAAATTCTCCATTTGTGATGACAACAGAAGAGATTCAAAACCGCATAATCTTTCAACCAGGAAAAAATGCCAATCAAACTCTATCTTATGAGATACGCTCACACCAACAAATTTGTTGCAGTCACCTACACCTCTTAACAGACCAAAGTGCAAGAACACAAACAAATCCAAAATAATGCTCAAAAGATAATTAGATAAACAACAACAAAGAACTGAACTTGTAACCACAACGTTTCTCAAATCTTAGCTGATTGATTGTAATCTCTTTAGATTGATAACAATTATGTTCATATAAAGTTGTTGTCATCATTGCTGATGAACTAAAGACAAAAATTCAATGCATCCCACAATGATTTTCCATCTTCTATTCAACATTTACAAGTCCATAATACTATATCATCAATTCCGGAGCTTTACACATCCATTAAGTTGATGGAAAAACATCCTTCACTGCAGAAGCTGCAGTTAAATAATTCAAAGTATTCCTCAAAGTCTCCTTTTCCCTTTTCAATCTCATTGCTGTATCCTCCAATTCCAGCAACGCTTGCTGTTCCCTGGGCGCCCCTTCAAACGTACTCCCAACAAAAAACGAAAAAGGCGTCGGGAATAAGTTCCTTCTCAAGTCCTGAACTTCCTTCTCCGGCTTCCCATTCAACCTGTTTGATAGACGAATCACGTCTTTCATATACGTCTCCACCTCATCCGCCAAAGCATTCAAATCCTCATCCCCATTAGCCGACGGCCGGTCCTCCAGCCACACCACCTCCGCTACCAAATACGGCTTGGTCCGAACCAGTTTCGTGACTCGGAACCTCTCCTGCCCTTTACAGATTAAGAAAAAACGGTCGTCGCTCAGTCTCTCGTGCTTCACGACCTCTCCAACGCATCCCACGTCGGCAGTCCCAGTGGCGGCGTCGGTGTAAATGACGCCAAATCGGAGGTCCGTCTGGAGGAGAGTATGCATCATCATACGATACCGGAATTCAAAGATCTGAAGCGGGAGGATTGCGCCGGGAAAGAGTACGAGCGGGAGCGGAAACAAGGGAAGCTCGACGACGTCGTCCGACTTGGGTTGGTTGGTGTGGTGTTTCTCGGAGAATGAGGAGGCGGAGCAGCGGAGAGACATGGGTTTCCGCCGCCATTGGCGGCGGTGGATAGGTGGCTGGGAGAGGAAGAAGGGTTTAACGGGATTGTTGGAGTGGTGATTAGTAGGGTTTAAGTGGGATTTGTTGTTCGGAATCGCCGATGAAGAGGTGGATGGCAAGATTTGAGGCAAAGCCATCTTCAGAAAAGTTTAAAGCTCTCCCCTGATGAAGAGGTTTTTTTCCCCTTTTTTTCAAGAATCAGAAAAGTGGCATTTGGAGTGATTCAGAGAAAGTACAAACTAACTGAGAAATTCTTGTGTAGATAGAATTTAGACCATAATAAAAAATGCATCAAAACTCAAATTACCTCAAATTTTTATGGTTTTTAACCAAATTAGATTTGCCATGGTGGAAAATTGGAAATTAAGATATGAAGTTTTGGATCGGGATAATATTTTGATGTGGATAATAGAGGGAAAAAAAAGGAAGGTGGGGAAGTTGCAGATTTTGCGTTTGAGGGGGGGTTTTGGGGAATGTGGTGTAGAATACTACACGTGGGAATGTGTTCTATCTTAGAGCTTGAGAAGCACGTGCAGTTTCATTAGTTGGAATTAGTGAGTTAATCCTAGTTACTGCTAGTGTTTTAGAACCATTTTGACAGTGAAAAGATCAATTGGTCTTGGCGTCTTGGATAATGTTTATTAATTTTACAGTGATTATTTGACTTCATTCACAATACCAAATTCATCAGGCCTAACCAAATTGGACTCGGGGATTAAAGCTTTGTTAGTAAACGTTCATTGTTGCAACTGATCTTTTGGTAGCTAAATGCATATTTCCTTCATGTCAAACCCCCCTCTCCCCCCCCCTCCCCCCAAAAAAACTAACTTCATCTAAAAATCGTATCCAGAGTTTGAACAATTCTTTTAGTTTTTTAGACGAAAAAATAATATGAATTATTTTTGTGGGACGAAAAAGCATAATAAATAAACTCTTGAAAACAAGAATGATTGGTTTTGGTGGAAAATAATGATTTTTTATGGTTTTGGCCTTTGGGGAGAAAAGGGAGCTTAAGGGGAACGGTCTAGAGTTATTGGCAAGTCAAATGACTCAATTTCATATCAATCATTTTCCTAAACCCAAAAAAAAAAAAAAGAATCTGAGTACGGGGATTTTTATTAGTTTTGGAGCTTGCTGGCCTATTGTAAACTTGGGGTGGAGGAGACTACCAGCTAACTCTATATATGGATGAGAATTATAATGAATTTTATATTTTATATGGTTTTGAGTGTTCCTAGTTATAAATGGGATGTATAAGTGAAGAGTTTCAAGCATTAGGACGTGCAATCAATTCGTTGATCCCAACATAAAAGGCAAAGGAAAATTCCTTGTCATTGGACAATCCGGCACCAAACGGAGTACATCAGTACATGTATAGGACGCAACATCCTAATCACGTCGGAGAACAACCATGATCTAATTACACCCCGGAATATTCTCTTCTTACTTAATATAGCTCATGATCATTAACTATGCCAATCATCAAAGGATTAACTTTTTTCCCCCTGATGTAATCTACAATTCTACATTCCTATCCCAAAAAAAAAAAAAAAACACGGTTATCTCAAATATGCAATAAATAAATAAAGGAGGGGGAGGGAGGGAATTTCCGACGATAGAAAATGACTTGTGTTCTCGGTTCATTTGTTGAAAACCATGGAAACTAGGGTTTTGGGCTCCTAATCGCTGGCTGCACTTTGCTGATCAGTAGTTACATTGTCACACATTATGTTTTTTTTTTTTAAATATAAATATGGAATATTGTGAAAAAATTCATATTGATCGTCTTTTTATATTCTCATATAACTATGTGCTTACTAGACCATATGGTCCATATCTCCTACAATGTCTAAATTGTGGTAACCTCCTGTTACGTTGTCAAATGTTACAATTTTTTTATATTATACTAGTATGTGTCCCGCGCTTTGCGCGGGTTTGTCAATGTTGAAAATTTATCTTTCAAAAGAATTAATTAAATAATGTAGTTATTAATATTTCTTAAAACCATAAATTTTTTTTGATTAATCAATTTTAGATCAAAATGAGAGGTATTGATATTATCTATGAGATGTAAATTTGTAAGATCTAGCCAAAAATATTACAACAAAAATTTTGAAAAGTTGTATAATAAAAATTGTCACCACTAACTAATGTTATGTTTGGATTATAAAATATATTAAAAATACGTAAATTATGTCTAGATGCCTATGGGGCAAGGGGACTTTGGGGATTAGACACAATTAATCGTCCTTGAAAATGTAAAATCGATAAAATTGAAGACAAAGTAGCACATAAATAGAACTTTAAGGGCTAAAATGATAATAAGTTAAAAGTGATGCTTGATGATCTCAATTAGCGACACGTGTCGATTATCTTTCTTTCTTTTAATATATATAATGATATTTAAGATTGTGAAAAATGTCAAATTTACTTGTCATTTTCTTTGTCGTAAACCTATACTAGATGTTTGGCTCAGGCAGATGCCCGGGCGCCCCTTCTAAATTACTATTTTATTAAAATCTAATTGAATAACTATTTTTTGAGGAATTAATTTGGCGTATATATCATTTATGCTATGGTTTGGGGCTTAAAAAAATATACCTATAAATCTGAGGTTATAAGGGAATAATAAATAATTAGTTTATAAGGCTTTATTCTTAATTACTGGATTTAGGTTTTTTATTTTTTGTTTATATTAAGCCTGCAAAATTGTACGATTGGACATTTGAATTTGAATTAATATATCCATTCGTTTGAAATGTAACTGATTCTTATTTGTAGAATTTTTTCATTGGATAAGTGTCACATTTAAAACATGTGTTTTTTTTTAAAAAAGAATTATATAGCTTCTAATTAAAAGATATTTACACGTGGCAAAAAGACTTCTGAAATCTGAAATATGGTGCATTGGAGCCAAAACAGATGCATACGTAGTTGCCACATAAGTTTCATGTCTTCTGCTTTAATAGGGTATATATAAAAGGGATGTGTTTGGTGAACTTTTAAAACCTACATTAAATAACTTGTGGTAACCTCTTATTATAATTGGGCTGTAAGAAGTTGTAAAGGTAAGATTCGGATAGAAGTAGAACCCTATATTCCGAATCAAACTGCCGTTCTCATTAGTAAGCAATGGCGGGCCGGAGTGACGAAAAGGGCACAGAAATGATGTGCATACAAATGAAGATGGGCTAAATTATCTGCAACTATTTGTATGTACAAGCTCACTATCATCTCGTAAAGTCCAATTTAGATTTCATTCTATTTATTACTGAGTTTGGCAAATACAGTCAGGGCTTGCATTTCAATAATTTTCGTTCAGGCCCAATTACATGAAGAAGTTCAAAGTTCCATACCTTGGAATTGGTCAGATGTATTCCAATTTCTGGACTCCTACCTCCTTAAACATAAACCAGAGGATTCGGAACTTATAACATGATTTACAACTCAGTAGGTGAACTAATCATTATTGCCGATAGTGAACATTGTGCTTGGAAACTAATGATTTCGAGCTAATCATTTTTTTTTCCTTCGAATTTTATGGCTTTTTTGGGCCAGAAAATCATGACGAAAAATTGGATTTGTGGTAGCGACTCTAACTATTCATTGACAAGATCAATTGCATTCTCATATTTTCCCTTTTGATGGGAGGATTTGCAAGGACACTACTATAATCACTTAAAAAAGGTGAAGGTAAAATAAATTTATAGAGTGATTTGCCAACACATAAACAGTTCAAAATGAGATTTTGAAGATAGATCTCGTTATATTAATGATCATCATCACGTCCTCCCGTTGTTTATTTATTTATTTCAGTTAGGATATACTCCCTCTGTTCCAAAATTATTGTCCAATTTGATATTTTACTTTTAGTACAATTTGAACTAAAAATGAAAATTCAAACTGAATAATAATTGTGGGATGGAGGTTGTATATGTTAAAAGTTCTACATTCAGGATGTGTTAAAACTTAACAGTACCCTCTGCAATTTCGGCCCTCGTCGACATATTGCGCGGTAGTGGTATTCATTGTTGTGAGTGAATGTAGACATAATAAGTCGATAAATTCACATTTTCTTGCCTTCACATTCTCTTGCTTACGGTACCAAATTTGTACTCCAAATCATTGCAATTTTTCCTTGCCTTCACATCCCTTCTTGATATTGCAATTTTTTCGAGAGTTGACCAGATACATGACATATGACCACACGTCACAAAAGGTGGCCCAATTTGTCGTAAAACCTGTAATACACTAATACATCCGCCAATACGGTATGTCATGGCTTTAGTCACACCAAATGAGGCCCAATTGAAATATGCTTTTTCGTGACTTTTCCACAATTTTTTGGGGCATATTCTAATTCGTCAAGGTAGTAGTCTTTTTATAGAGAGTTTTTATCAAATATCTCTGCACTGCACCGTCCATTTTTTTTTAATTTAATTTAATTTAATTTTTATTTAAAAATTTGGACATTGACTCTCTATATAAGGGGGGGCATTATCTACATTGAGGGGGGTATCTTTATCAGCGTTGAAAGCAAGCGAAAAACACACAAGGCAAAAAACAAAGAAAAGAATCTAGTGGAAGGTTCGGTAATTTGGACGGGAAAAATGGCCGCAGTGGTGGAGGAAGGACAAGTGATTAGCTGCCACACTAAGCAGGAATGGGTTGATCGCTTTAACAAGGGCAAGGAATCCAAAAAGCTGGTATTCAATTTTTATAGTTTGATTTCTTTGGGTTTTAAGTTGCTTTTTTTTTTGGAGGTTTTTTTCCCTAAAAAATCAGGGTTCTTGTTGATCTTCAGAAGAATCATTTATGCTATGGTCTTTTTGTGGATTATGTTATGATTTTTATGGGTCAATTTGTTTACTAATCTGAATTTTCGTCTAGTTCGGATTGTGAATTAGGTTTACTATGTTCTTAGTTCGAATCATCATGTGTTAGGTTATTATGGTTTCCGTTTTTGTGTCTGCCTCACTGATTCGTGTGGATCCAATTTAATCTTGTTTATGTCAATTGCTTCTCTTGTATTTTGATTTCTTTTTAGTGTATGTTGTTTTCCCCCTTTAATGCACGTAGCTCCCAGTCCTGTAAGGTTTACCATTCTGATTTATCGGAGGCTATTATATTTGCTCTATCTTTAGGGGAAGGAGATATGTCTTTTTTGCTGGTTTCAAAAAGTATTTTTTTGTATTTTTTTCACTGAGTTTTTCAAGAGTATGCATTGAGGGTGAGCTTGGTGGAGACTATCTAATTTGTTGGTCTCGTTAGTTTGGAGTGAGATCCTCATTCATGGTCGAGAACAAAGTTGTCCCTATGGTTGGTTGAGATTGCTTGAAAAATACTATTTGGGAACCCTAATTGTTTATAGTTAGCCCTTCTGCATGTAAGATTTGCAAGTTTTATGTTTCTTTATTTATTTTCTTCGCTGTCGCTAGAAGATGAAATATTTTGAACGACTTGCGCCGATTCTGGTTAAGTTGTACTTGGAGATCTGCCTATTTGAATTAAATGTCTCTTCAACTAATTTAATGAGTGTGCTGAGGGAGCTCGTATGCTTGGATACTTAACTGGTGATAGACATGAACTTGTAAACTCTGTTGTTCTTTATCTTCATTTCATCATATACTGTATTAGGATTTAGGAAGGAGAGGATGTACACTTCCTTTGAGACGTGTGGTTTAAGTTTTAAAGGAAGATGTATGTAGCCCGTGAAACTGATGTTCACAGCGGTTGCAGAATGGGTTGATTTGAGTACTTTTGTCTGTCATTTATAAAAGAAATAAATGCTGGAAGAGGCTGTTTCCATTTGCCGATTTTTGAGATCCATTCCATACCAATTTGGTAATTTGTTGTCGTATAGTCTATTACTCCACAGCTGTGTTGTTTCATTCTTCTATGTTTCGCTACCCATGTAACCGTTATGAAATTGAGCCTTTGATGTTTAAGTCGCAAGACACTGGTATCCTTCACAATTGACATTAACGTTATCATATTCACTTTGACCTAGGTTGTGGTTGATTTTACTGCTTCATGGTGCGGACCTTGCCGCTTTATTGCGCCTGTCCTTGCGGAGTTAGCCAAGAAAATGACACATGTCATATTTCTGAAAGTGGACGTTGACGAACTGGAGGTGGTTTATATTCATTTCATTTTTTTTTTTCTGTTGCGACTGAGTAGAAACCTTTACCTTTTTCATCACCCTCTGTTCCAAGTGATGTTTCTCACCTCTTTTATTATTATTATTTGTTTTTGTTTTTGATGTTTGCCAGGAGGTTGCTAAGGAGTATAGCATAGAGGCCATGCCGACTTTTCTCTTCTTCAAAGAAGGTGCAGTTGTGGACAAATTTGTTGGTGCAAAGAAGGATGAACTGACCCAGACCATTACTAAACATGCTGCTGCAGCCACCTCCTCTAGTGCTTGATATCTGTTTCAGTTAGGGGACATATCTTGAATAAAAATGGGTGAATGTTTTTAAGAGAAGTTATGTTATGGTTGTCCCGAGTTTCTGGATGTAGTATGCTTCCTTAATGGTTCCCTGGATGTAATGATCTGTGCTGATTTTTGAAGAATAATAACTAAATATTATTCCTTATCTTTCTTGTGCGTTCATGTCCCTTGTAATAATCTGGGCTTACAAACATGATCCATTTGCATCCTTAAAATACCAATGGAAGGAGGAGATTAGCTTTTAAATTAGAAGAATGATCTATAAGCTTGCATCATATGGATAAATTGTTTTCATTTACTCCTGTTTCAAAATTATTGTCTGGACAATAATTATGGGAAGGAGGGAGTACTGTACAATTCCAGGAGATGCTTTGAAGATATAATTTGACTGTAAGATAGATTTATAATCCTTTTTCATAGTATTTCAATTCAAAAGGGAAAATACAAACATTCATATAATTGAAAGAGAAAAAAGAAGCAGCATCAAATCATTTGGAAATAATTTTATTGATTCAGGTGTTTGGTGACGAGTTGAATCAGCTTGTCCTTATCAGCACCGGAGAACCGTTCAACAACTTTTCCTTCCTTCATCACCACAAACGTCGGCATCGCCTCCACTCCCCATTGTTGAGCCACAGACTGCATATTGACCAACATGTCAAAGATAGAAAAATTCAATCAGCCCTGTAGGAAGAATGAAGACATCTAACCCCATGATGATAACGTCGAAAAAATTTGTTAATTTTAAGATTTTGACTCCTGCTAATGCAGTAAAAACTATAAAAAGAAACATCAATTTCAGTTGTGGGAGGAAGGGGTGAAAAACGTACCCTGAGATCATCCACATCGACTTTGAGAAAGGTGACTTGGGGATGTTGCCCGGCCAACTCATCCAGAACCGGGCTCATTAGACGGCAAGGTCCACACCACGTAGCCGAAAAATCAATCACAACCTGTTTCATCAACACAACCAATTAGATCCGCAAATCATATTTACAACATATTTTACCAATTTGGAATTGAATGAATTCATTCTGTTTTTGCCAAATTATAAAGGCCACTAGTAGGGAAGATGTTGATCGAGTACATCAATTAGCTTATAATACAATGCATTGTAGTAATAGACTAGGTCTTATTTTAATATAATCAGCTACTTTTATCAAAAAATAAAAAAAATCTGTGACAAAATCATTGAAGATCGATCATATAGATTTGATCAGTTTTTCTAATTTCATACGCTACGTCTAAGAGTAGTTTTTTTTTGTTTTAACCTAAAAAGATCATCGGTGGCAATTGCTATCAGTATAAAGAATCAGTAGGAAAATCGGTGAGATAATCAAAAAAGGCAAAACAAGTTGAATCATTGAAAAACAAAAAAAAAAAAAAAAAGACTGATTGACTAATCATCGTGCTCTACATACATACCAGTTTCTGGGGTTCTTTACCCATCTGGAGTTGTTCTTCCCATTCCTGAGTGGTTTTCAGACTGATCACTTTTCCTGCCATTTGTTTGCTTTTTCTCTCCACACACACGACTAAAAAAGTTCTCAAGATTTTACAATCTTCCGAACAGCTCTATCGCAAAACGCAACTTGTGTTAAATACATACCGGCTTTGATGAACGAACCGACTAAACTGGTCCAAAGCAGATTTTTGGTCAATAACTGACACCGAATATTTAGGTATTTATTATAATTAATTAATAATATATCTCTATTTTGACCCCGGCGGCAAAATATAATTCATTCTAGAAACTTCTTTTTTCCAGAAAAAAAAATACAAATTTATGTTGAATATTTTGTTCTTCGTTGGCATATTCTATTATTATTAGTACTCCCTCCATTCATAAATAGATCTCGCTGGAGAGATTTCACAGCAGATGGCACACACTATACTCAAAGGCTTGGACTATCCTTCCTTGCCCGGTGAATCTTTCAAAAAGAAGCACCAGGTACTCCCTTAATCTGCATTTCGGACTACTCTTAACCGTTTATCCATTTCGAGATGGAACTGCTTTCAAGAGACCAACTAATAGAACGTATGAAACTGAAGAGACCGGCAAGAGTGACTCTCCTCTAAGGCTACAAGGCTGCCTTCTTGTGAAGAAGACTGACTTTTGCAGGCTTGACAAAATTTAAGAAGGCAATAATTATCTTGTTAAAATACTATAATACCCTCATTTATTCTTAATTCAATTGTAATCCCAATAAAATTCACTTCTAATACAATTCTACATTAAACATCACAACAATTTTCAATGTAAGGGTGATATTGGAAAAAATTGACAAAATATGCCTCGATTTGTGAGAACGACATCTATTTTGGAATATTTGGGTTTTCCTCCAACGACATCTATTTGTGAATGAAGGGAGTACAATTTAGAGCTATACACGACAAGCGGATCTCTGTCTTTTGTCTTTAAAAGTTCTCATTCAATTGTTGATACGGTCGATTTTGTTACCATTCTCGCTCTCATACGGATAACAAGCATAACAAAATCAGCTAAAAATGTAAATTGCAACTTCAATCTGCATGAAAATTTTACATAAACTTAAAATTCATATAGGTCCTAAGGTTTGGATATTGGACTATAACTATGTGTTTGTAGTTTGGTATGGTAAACTAATGTGACGCTCTATCCTTTGAAGAAACAAATGTGTGTGAAATGACTCAATGATGTTACCTCTGATCAGTGCTAACTCTATAAGATTAGACACCTGAAATAACTATATCCTTGAAGAATAATTACAGTTAGTAATTATTATTAGATTGATAATATCAATCATTCTTTCCGCTATGATGACAATCCTATACACAGCATGTGCGGATTTAGACACTCCTTTTCTTGAGCTTTATCCGTGATGCAATGCCGCCTAGTTCTTCAAATAATACCAGTAAATTTTGCGTTGGTCTCAACCAGGATCTGGGCACATGGTACCTGAAAAAACAAATGCAAGTCAATGGAGATGAATCCCTGATAGGATAACTAACTACTTAAGGTCAACTCGACTCTCCAACTGTGTCTCATTAGCGAAACGTCCATGAATATGAACTTCTATGAAACAAGGAGCAAGAATTACCATCGCTGAGTTGGTTTACCGCAGCCAACTTGGCATTTTGCTTGTCTGTATACTCCTGAATATTTGCAAACACTGCAATTACCATTTGCCGTAAGAGTCCAGTATCTCCCAATGTTTTTACCATTGATCCATATTTGACCTTTCCCCATGCTTTGCATATCCAATCCTATCGGCTCATTACCTTCTGGAGCATCAAAATACGCCTGCAATTGTAAGAATAAATGAACTTCATATTCCACACACTCATGACATCTGCCAAAAACTGATGGTTCTTGTATTTTACTGAGTTGTGTTATTTACCTTGTACCACCTCAAGGGCTGCTGACCTTGGGTGACTAACGAGGCTGGTATCCATTCAACGGAGGAGACACCATTTGCAGAAGCTATATTCATAGATTCTCCTTTCAAGCCAACCTGTGGATGATATGCAAATGCTAGTAAGGATATCATTTATTGCATACTTTAAACTAAAAAGGTAATGATATTACTAATTTTGAGTACCTTGTAGGTCCATTTTTGCCATGTCAAGTCCTTACTACGTTGATCCAGACCATGAAGCACAACTGGCCCTAAAACCCCGATATTCCAATTTTCAAAATGCACCCCACTGTTCTGTATGATATTATGACACTTACAATTAGCATATCTACGGGCTTACAGGTAGTATATCAAGGGAAAATCTGGTGAAAAGTACTTACAGGTAATCCGACAGCTATGCTAAGTAAGGCGATTCTGTTAGTCCCGGCATTAAGGTTTACAGGTCCCGAAAATCTTATTCTCATGTTACTGCGGCTACCATATGCTGACCCTATATGGTTGGAGAATGTTTCAGATAAAGCGAACAGTTTCTGACAGCATTTCTGGTCTATATGGTTGGAGAATGTTTCAGATAAAGCGAACAGTTTCTGACAGCATTTCTGGTTTATGCCAACTTGACATCTTACCCGACAAGACTCCATTTATGAATACGTGAACCGCATGACCTCTTGATTGCATCGCCAAAGTGGGCTTCTCTCCACCACGAAGGAATGATTCTGATGGACTAATGTCAACGCTGGATAAAAAGGTCAAAGTGAAGTTAATCATGCTGTTGGTTGCCTCAAAGATTGTATCTATTATGATAAATAACTCGTGCATTTTCATTGGCAGTTTGGGAGGCATGTGCATAATTAAATTAGTCGAATCCTACCCATTGAGTGCATAATTGCATACATCAGGGTCTAGCTGAAGTTTAAGATACTGACATTAGGATGTGATAGTATTAAACATGTAAGCACTATGTGGAAAAACATTTGGCCTTGGGCATGATAGAAGTTTACTTGCTTTGTATTATTCATACAGCCAAAATAACCGAGCAGTGTTTGGAACGGAAGATGTAAAGCAAGTTTGATTCATCGTAGCTCACTAGGAATTCATCTCACCTGGTTATGTACCACAAATAATCACTATTATCTCTTGTGACATTTATCTGCTCCAGAAGTCCAACACTTGTAAAGGTTGAACTGTCCTCCAAAGCAGATACATCTTCTCCATAGGTCTCCCAGGAATGAGGTTGAATGGTAGTTGACAACATTCTTGAATGTGAAGTTGGAGTTCCTACCTTCAAAATTGCAGATTGATCTGTATCAATAAAGGTAACAATAGCAACAGAAGTTCAACAGTAAAGGAGAATCTAGCCAAAAAATCTTCTCCAGCTTATCAAACATGACTAAATTTGTAAACAAACACACTCTTATGGAGAGTAGTTGGATGAGGGATCAGGGAATTAAGGCTTTGTCAAAAGATGTGCTTACTTTTGCAGTATTGAAGACTACATTTTTGCAGTCAGGAAGGATGCTAATTGACCATGGAGGAAGATTATAGTGCATGCCATTGAAAACCACTTTAGCAGCAGAATTGCTATCATAGTTTGCGAGGAAGGCAGCACAGTTACCTTTTCCAGAAGAAAATACATGAGCCTGAAAAAATAGAAGGTAAAAGCAAAATGAGGCACAAATAGAAAATGACTTATCGCTAATGAACTGAGAAAGTGATGCATATGAGTGATGACCTCCTGGAAGCTTCCCAAAGTAGTCGTCGTAGGATCTGAAGAAACCAAAGCTTGTTCACACATTTTAATAGCCTTATGCAGCTCCTTCAAGTGGCTGTACTTGGGTTCTCTTGGCAGGCCTGAAGAGTTGCGCAAGTTCAGTCAAACATGTAATTGAAACCAAAGGAAATATTAGTACATAAGAGCAATGCTCTATGTTTAAACTATACTGTAATAGATAGTACAGACTGAGGCTCCTCCTACCATATTCATCAATTGGAGCATCATAGTCATAACTGGTTGTTATAAAAGGACCGCCAGCAGTGCGCCCAAAGTTTGTTCCTCCATGGAACTGTAACAAGTAGGTTAGAGACTGCATGCTGGTGTTCGTTGAATCTAAGATTACAAAATGTAGGAAAATCACATACCATGTAATAGTTAATAAGAGATCCACCCCTTTGTATGAAACGTGCAACTGCAAATGCCAGATCCTGAGCTGGACGATGATTTTGGGGCCCGCCAAAAAGTGTGAACCTTCTCCAATGAAAGATAAGATATCAGAACTAATTGGATGGAAAAGATGGACATCTAATCAAATCATGAACTTAATTTTGAGTGAAGTGTTACCAGCCACTCCACGCTTCAGTCCACAAAAGCGGTTTGTAAGGTTTATTTGGCAAAAAGGTATCACAATAGAAACCATTGCATGCATTGATCTGTAGATATTCAAAAGGCCAGTTAATATAAATGATCACGACACTCTAAAGTCTAGAGCATAGATGTAGTTGAAAGATTGCTCACAACTGGATCAGGTGCATCATCTTGTTTGCACATAACCCATGGAACCCCTGTATTTAATCCCACTGCCATTCCGGCAGCCCATTTTAAGTACGCCTCACCAGCTTGTCCTAATCTTTTTTCAGTTGGTCCATACTCATTCTCAATCTGGCAAAGGAGAAACAAAAACATAAACTAAAACAGCCTGTTTGTTCCTCCTGATTTGCAACTGCCATGTTTGAGATCAACTCAAAACTTTTTCCAAAGATCAAAGAAACAGCAAATAAAGATTTTAAGGCGAGACGAACTTAAAAGGTACACACCTGAGATAGGATAATTGGACCTCCTTGGGATTCAAATAGATGCTCATTCTTCATCATCCCAACAATTTTTTGCGTGAACTTTTGCATTGCTACCTTTACCAGAGGAATAAAGGAATGTCATTAGTTAGACCCATGGTAAACAGAAACTTTCCCTTCTCAAGGGATAAGACAGTCAGAGAAGTTTTGATAATTCGGAGCACACTAAAATTATGCAACTAAAATGCAGTTGGTTCACAACTTCACACAAATTTGTCATGACTTTATAAAATATGAAGCAGTAACGAAGGATGGTCTAATCGTCACAACCTTAAAGGGCTCATTATCTGTTCTGAAGCTGATTCCAGGGACAAATTTCAACCAAACAGGAAATCCCCTGCATTATATACAATAGAGAAATCTTTAAACGTTTGGTACAACCAAGATCAAGCACTAAAATATGCTAAGACTCAATGTGAAATCATAATGATTGGAGACTTCTCAATCTACAACTACATTAATTATCTGCCTAACATCATTAAAAAAAAAAAAAACAAAAACAAAAAAGAAACACAAAGACAAAATAAAAGCGAGAATATGGGAGTGCATAAATTACCCAAAGTTCCACTCTGAACAAACATAAGGTCCAATTCTTAGGTGAACATAAAGGCCAACTTTTTGAACCGTCTTTATAAAGCGCACAATGTCATATCTATCCTGGAAATCATACTGCAACATTCCAAAGCAAAAGCACGAAAGAAAAATCAGAAAATCCCAAATCATAAAAACTCCAACTTTAAAAAAGCAAACAAACAAATTGACCAATCTGCAGTAATGATTCCGGAGGAGACTTACCACACCTTGGGAGGGCTCGTGGACATTCCAAAACACATAAGTATCAATAACATCCAAGCCAGCATCTTTAGCCTTGGTTATAAGGTCTTCCCACATCTGCAAAAGTACCCACATTGATTAAAAAAAGCCCAATTTAAAGTACCAATTACTTTTTTCTCATGAAAACATATTGTAATGCCTAAAAAAATGAGGAATTGGAAAACCTTACATCAGGGGTGCTTCTTGGATAATGTATAGAGCCAGAGAGCAGGATTCTCCTTTTCCCATTAATCAAAAGTGCCTTCTTGTCATAGGTGACACTGCATTGTGTAAACTCTGGACCAATCAACAGAGAAATGCAGAAGAAAAAAAGGGCCAACTTGGAAACTGATTTAGTTTCCATTCCTCCACTTTTTGCTTTCTGTTAGCCGGTTAAAAAGTCTCTAATGCTTGTGCATGAGTGGAGGGAAGTTTGAAAGGAAGAGGAAGAAAACGGTGAAACAGAGAGAGAGAGAGGGAAAAGGAGAAGCAATGCAGAGTGGAGAAGAACACTGTTGGATCTGCTGGGTATAAATCCTGCTAGGCAGAGCGTCCAGCTTTCACAGTGTTACCATTTACGAAAAACTGTACTCATTGCTGATTTTCTTATTCTCTAAAATCTAAAAGAAGAAAAAAAAAAATGGTTTTTTTTTGTGTTGAGATCAGGGGCAGAATTGTTTAATAAGAAGATGACTAGTTAATGAAGCTTTGAAGTGAAGTGTAATGGAATTTAAGTGGGATTAGGAGTCTTGATCTGGAGCTTAAAATATCATTTTTTTTTTGCTCTCTTAAAAGTCCACAGGGGAAGGAAAGCCAGTAAAACTAGTAAAGCTTTGATTTCAACTTTTGTCTGATTAGCAATAATGTGTTTGTCTGGAAGTTCGAGCTGTATAACTTTTATGTGTGAGGGAATGGGATATTCAGCACTCAATTTAAAACCAAAAGTGTTGAAAATCCCCGCGAGTCACTAGATACATCGCATTAGTCGTACGTCATAAGTATCAAAATGTGTACAATATGAATTAGATTCAAGTTTATGAATTATGAAAATCGACATACAAAAATGCACACTGAATAAAAAAAATAAATAAAACCCGAAAAATGTGTCCGGTCCTTCGTAACCGATAATGATAGCATGTTTTCTCCTTCTGCTATATGTTTTTCGCATTTACAGTACAATTAAAATCGCAACTTTGCAGTTAAAAGTAAAACACCCTAATGATCAGAATACGACTCGATGATATAATAAGCCAATAACTCATTACATTTTTTAGTTAATTTTAGTATTATATGTAATAAATCAATTATTTATTTGGCAATAAAAAAAAACTATGATTTTGAGGGGACCAAGTTGGCACCATGGAATTATGAAGTATGCAACCTAACTATACGTGAGTTGGTAGTAGTATTGAAACGTGATTAAAACGGTATGATGAACCGTTTCTTAAATGTGAGTTCAGCATTTTCTGACCAATTGGGCCAGAAATCTGGGATAACTGTATTGATTTGATCTGTACGGCATCGTATCGCTTAAGGATGATGATAATTAGTGTCTTGTAAAAAAAATTAGGCGATGTTAAAGGAAAATATAACGGGACTGTGAACATTCCGTTGGCTTTTCTTCCCCAACGGGTGCCCGGGAGACAAGTTAATCACTGCCTTTTCATGTGGGTTGGTCTAATTTCGTACAAGAAAAATTCTATAGTTTATCACTATTAGTAACGTCATTAGAATTATTATTCTTATGGGAAAAACCACATATTGAGTTTTTTTTTTAAAAAAAAAACAAACAAACAAACAAATGTTTATTGATTGTCAAAAGTTGTGACAAATCTTACACACTAGTAAAAGTTCACTTTAGTCTTTAACTATGTAAAATAATTGATGCTCCATCTGTCCTAAAATAATTATCTGATTAATTACGTAACAATTATTTTAGTGTGGAATGAGTATCACCACCACTCCGGGTCAAAGTCTTTTCCCATGATTTGCTCTGTTACTAGTTACTGCTGTATGATTTTAGAATCAAAGTTGCCATGATTGAGTGATATTGACCAATTGGAATGGATACTTTCTTCAAATTAAAAGGTTTGACATCACATCACTCAAATTCGAAGTTCGAACCCGCTGGTTTCTCCAGAACACCTCCTATCCTAAGTCCTAATCCTAGTTTCCATTTTAATTTGAACAAGAAGACGAAGAAGATAACACAGTTAAACTCAGTAAACTACCATTTTTAGTAGTTTAAGACTGACTTCATTTGCATCGTGGCAAACTGAGACCATAGGAGTATGTAACTAGGAGTTATGGTTTGATGGTATGGAAAGCGAAAATTGAAAGTGTGGGTATTTGTCATCTGAGTTATGAATTCTGATTATGGTTTTGGGTAGTTAGGATTTGTTGAGAGTGTTTTTGTTTTTCTTTTCCTCCCCTTCTTTTGAAATAAAATACACTTTCATTAATTTTGGTAGATATGATTTGTTGGGAGTTAATGGTGGCTTTAGTTTATGTCTTTAAAGATTTGCTTGATTTAGATGCAATCATCAACAAATTTTGATGCTATTGCTTTGCATGGACATTTTTGCTTTGATGATCTATTACTAACAATCAAATCTGGCTATTAAAGTGATTTATTCGTTTTTTCAACTCATAACAATGTTTTGCACTCATGATTTCAGGCCATTGCGAAATGCTAACTTTGTAGTTTTGAACCAAAATTTAAATCTATAAAGCTAAGTGAAATTTAGGTAGTGATTTGTGTGATATTACTTCCGTTTTAATAAAAATAATAATTTATTTTGTTATGTTATTTTTCTGGGGCGGAAAAAATAGAATGTAAAACTTGACGTAAATTTTATCAAAAGCAGTTTTACAAACCATTTGATGCCCGGTTTTATTACTGTAAACCATTTGTTGCTGTAGGAAAATGATAATGTAGAAATAACTTTGACCTAAATCTTTTTTTCTGGAAAAAATTTGGTGAATGTAAAATAGAGAAGAAATATGAACATGAACAACGGAAAAATGATGTGAATTAACTCCAGGGCAACGCACGAATGATGTTATAACTTATAACCTCGATTAGAGTGAGGATGCTGGACTTCGGATTGCTGCTGTGGAGAGCAAAAGTCGGATCTCGTTTTGAATCACAGAATCCATTCCTCTTGACTTTTTCGCTACTCCCTTCATTTTAATTTTTTTAAAAATAAAAAAAGTTATTTTATATTTTTACAGGAATTGATGGTGAATGGCTGTCAATCAGTCAATCTCATCTGGTCAAATTCCGATCTTAAAACTTTTTTTTTTTTTAAAAAAAAAAACATCCTAAGTTCTATTGCATTGCCCTTTGCATCTTGCAACCGAAGGAAATTGAAATTAATTTATATCTTATAACGAGGTCAAGAGAGAATACTTATTAATTTATACTATCTTATAATTAGGATAAGAAGGACAAGAGAGAATACTCATTCACAGTAACTAAAATATTGTAACTCATGTAATAAGTTGATAATGTAGTATGTATATACGATCTTCTGTTACATTATATCTGCACGCAGTTATAATTTTAATATATTTTTTCTATTTTAAAAAAATAGTTCATATTAAATGTTTAAGTGTACGTGGAAATTCAATGTACGATTACACATAGAAACTCAATGTGAATAGTGCATCTGAAAACTCAATGTAAATTACTTACTTTTTTTAGAGATATTAGTATTTAAAATTGTGGTACTCCCTCCATTCCAAAATAAGTGTCATCCTACACTTTGCACATAGTTTAAGAAACTCTTAAATAGGATAATAAAATTACTTTAATATCCTCAACCAACCCCACTAAAAAAATGTCCACCAATAGTATTAATTCTTTCGAGGGTAATTTTGGAAACTTTAGACAAAAAGTGCATTGAAATGTGAGAACGACACTTATTTTGAAATTTTTTCATTTTATTAAAATGACACTTATTTTGGAACGGAGGGAGTACAAATTATTTTGTTCCTTGATAATCTTTTCTTTCCCAAAGTCAATGGTCACGTGCTACCGTTAAGTAGAGATCTAATACCACCAAGGGTTTCAAGCTTTTACAATCCTTCCCTGCATAATCGGATCCGACCGCAGTTCCGCAAATCGAGTTTTATTTGGATCTGCCTGAAATTTTAGAAAAATCAAAATTGGACCATGCACTCGCTGTTGAAAAGTGCATTAAGGATGAAGTCATTACTCATTACTAATCAAATCCAACGGCTAATTAACCTATGGTTGTATTGGTCACCTGGTACTAAAAAGTTGGACTTTTTAGATTTTTGCGCATCAGTAAGCAATTCTGTTTTAACATTTTTCAAGGCACTTTCCACTTTTCGTTTTGTTTTTTTTTTGTTTTTTTTTTTTTAAAATCGCTATGGGAACACACTACTAATACATATAATTGATTTTTGGGAAAAAGACAAAAACCTCTTGAGTTATGTCTAAAAGACAGATTGCCTCTCGACATTTCGTATAAAGACAATAACCGCCTTACTGCCAAGTCAAAGGATAATTTGCACCCTGCATAAATAAATTTTAGTGCAAAAAGACAAAAATACCATTAAATTTAAAAATAATCTTTTTTCAAGACTAAACCTACCTTTTCAATCAACTCGTTTATTTTATATTTAAAAAATCTTTAAACAGTTTCGCTCTGATTAAATCCACCGATGACTCTGTTTTGACGCATTATTTCTCCCTACCACTGATGCCCCAATAAAAATAATCCCGAGGCGGCGGTGATTTTATAGTTTTGGATAAATAGAATTTATGGTTTTGATAGATTAAATTCTTAATCTCTAAATAGAATTTAGAGTTTCGATAGATTAAATTCTCAATCTCGGTTTATTTTTATTGAGGCGGCAGTGATACGAAAAAATAATGCATCAACAAAATAAACCCGAGATTGAGAATTTAATCTATCAAAATCATAAATTCTATTTATCTAAAATCATAAATTCTATTTATCCAGATAAATAGAATTTATGATTTGATAGATTAAATTCTCAATCTCGGGTTTATTTTTATTGCGACAGCAATGATATGGAGAAAAAATGCATCAAAACGGAGTTAGCGATAGATTTAAAATGACGTATAATAGAATCTATCATTTTTTTAAAAAATAACGAGTTGGTTGGAGGGTAGGTTTGGTTAAAAAAAAAATTCTTTTTAGATTTAAGGGCATTTCTGTCTTTTTACACTAAAATTTACTAATGCAGGAGGCAAAGTGTCCTTTAACCCGGCGGTAGGAGGGTTATTGTCCTTACAAGAAATGTCGGGGGACAATTTATTTTTTGGACGTAACTTGGGGATTTTTGTCTTTTTCCCTTGATTTTTATTATCTAGGGAAAAAAAAAGTAAGTAGTACAAAATTTATTTCGTCTTTTGATTTGTAATTATGAAGACTCTAACAATACATACACTTTACATATGATTTTTTTTAATAGAAGAAAACATTAAAATTAATTTTGTAGATGTAACTTGCCTAAGGTTTTAAGCAAATATACAATTTTGCTTGGGATGAATTGCTTCTCAATGACAGCTTCCAGAGTCTAGACGCCCGTTAGGACTTAGGACCTCCGACCGGTCGACCCACATGCACATGGAGCCACACCATTGGACAGATGGTACGAAGGAAAGAAAAAATGAAAGTTAATTATTAGTAGTAGTACGTACTAGTATATTTTACCTCACGTAATATTGATCATTCACCATAAATACAAACGTTACAATTTTGCGCTAGTGTTTGGGCAATGCTGCACATGTCTTATTTTGCAACTTCCAACGTACGATTTGGTCAACCTGTCAGTATGTATATAATTTTTCTGTGCTAATTAAGGGATGTCGACTGCTTAATTTTGTGCAGTTAACATTGGGGATTTGAACCCACAATTTAGAAGGAGGGGCGGCTTCAATTAATAATCTTTACCACTTCGCAAGTTGCATGAATTCTTGTCCCTCTCCTTGGTCAACCCATCTGAAATTGCTTGTAAATTGTTTCGTGTAACGGAGCTGAAAGCCTGAAACGATCTAGTCTCGCCAATAGCAAAGTTTGCCTAGCTCCACCAGTGGTTGACACAAACAATACTCTATCTGTCTTGAAACTAGACAATAATTTTAAGACGGGTGAGAATGCGACACTACGCCTTATTTTTTGCTTCACAGATTATAAAATGATATAGATTTTATTCTTCTTTTACCTTTTTCACTTATCCCACAATCCTACTAATGTATTAATGTGATTGGTGTCTATTGATGATCATTCGGGTTTCCTGAATTAAGGTTGCCATCCGTGAATCCGGTGGTTCGTTGCGTTTACGTCAATCCAATCAACTTTCGGCATGCATGCTGAACCTCTTACGCGACATTTTCAGCGTTGCTCCTCCTCTTCTTTGCCTCGGGAGAATAGAAACACGGAAATCTCAACTAGCTAGTATAGCCAACTTTTTTAGGTAGATCAAGACATCAAGTATAACCAAGTTGATCACTATTGTTGTCACACAAATCACACTACAAGCTCATAATTTCTAGTTTCCGATTGTCATATTCATGTTAGTGAAATTGATAGTCAAGAAGCGGGGATTGACAAGTGCAAGTGAAACATATTTATCGAGAAGTTAATCTTATATATATAATTACATGACCACTCTTTTAGCTGACTAAACTATGATCACAATTGAATATTCAGTGAATTGGTTGCCTTTTCGGATTCATATAGATATTGTACGATATTTTTAAAACCCTCGTAATGTAGCCATTTTTGGCTTATTGCCTCCTTATCCTAAAAAGTCAATGGTAAACAAAATAGGGAGAGAAATGAAGAAGAAAGATATACTCTAGTATAATCATGGAGAACAAATTTGCCTAATCCTTTGGGCTTGTAGAATGAAATTAGTTGCAGGCCTAAGACAAAGAGGCCTAATTCTGACCTTTGCTTTTGGTGGGCTAAATTTGACAGGCCAAAAAAGTGATCCATCAGGACCACCAAGTCCAGAACAGATAGGATGATGTGTCCAAATTTTATTGGTCACATGGAACTTCCCATATATGGTCACTACCGTAGACAATTATGTTTCATATTCTGTGGCTGTCGAGCTCTTTCATCAGCTTCAGCGTGTAAATAAATGTACAGAATTTGCTCTTATCAGGCTGCCAACTTCATCAAAGACACTCTCCAATGGAGTGATTCTTCATACTGGCAAAATCATACATCCAAAATTACCTGAAACTCATCACAAATCGTCGAAGCCCACGACCCAATTCAGAAATGCCATCCAAAGACCCCAAACAAGCGTATCGGATGCCCACATCAATTACCTCTGCAAAAACGGACGTCTAAATGAAGCCATTGAATCTTTAGAATCCTCGAATTATGGCGCTTCTGTAAGTCCTCAATCTCTGTCCCTTTTAATCCAGTCTTGCGTCGATACCCGATCCATTCATTTCGGCCGTAGGCTTCATAGCTATGTGAAAACTTTGGTAAAAGATTTGGACCCTTTTACGGAGACTAAGTTCGTTGGAATGTATGCTAAGTTTGAGTTTCTTGAGGATGCGTATAGAGTGTTCGAGGGAATGTCTGAGAGGAACTTGTATACTTGGTCTGCGATGATTGGTGCTTGTTCGAGGGATAAAATGTGGGATGACGTTGTTGAGCTTTTTTATTCCATGATGATGGAAGATGGTATAGTTCCTGACAAATTCTTGTTTCTGAAGATTTTACAGGCACGTGGGAACAGTGGGGATGGTGAAACGGGGAGGTTGATTCATGGTATGGTGATTAAATGTGGGATGACTTTTCAAGTGCGTGTAAATAATGCAATTTTGGCTGTTTATGGAAAATGCCGGTGTTTAGACTTAGCAAGACGGTTTTTTGATAGTATGGAGTTCAGGGATACGGTTTCTTGGAATGCAATGATAACAGGATATTGTAATGCTGGTAATATTAGTGAGGCACAGAGATTGTTTAATTCGATGCGTGACCAAGGGTTTGAACCTGGTCTGGTGACCTGGAATATTCTGATTGCGAGTTATAGTCAGTTGGGAGAACTTGACATGGTCATGGAATTGATGAAGGAGATGGAAAGCTACAGAATTCTTCCTGACATTTTCACTTGGACTTCTATGATTTCTGGGTTCGCTCAGAGTAATCGGAAGAGTCAAGCTTGGGATTTTTTTGAGCTAATGATTGCAGCAGGGGTCCAACCTAATGAGATCACACTTATTAGCTTGATCTCGACTTGCGCGTCTCTTAAGGACCTAAAGAAGGGGAGAGAGTTACATGCATGGGCAGTGAAAGAAGGATTTGGCGATAATGTACTAGTGGCAAATTCACTTGTGGATATGTATTCGAAATGTGCAAAACTTGAGGATGCTCTCCTTGTCTTTGACAATTTATCTGCAAGAGATGTCTACACTTGGAATTCAATGATTGGAGGATATTGCTTGGGTGGATATTGTGGACAAGCCAATAATCTCTTCTTGAAAATGCAGGAATCAGATGTGCGGCCTAATGTCGTCACATGGAATACGATGATTGCAGGTTACATGCAAAATGGAGATGAGGGTCAGGCACTGGAACTTTTCCACAAGATGGAGAAAGATGGACAAACAAAGCCGGACACTGCATCTTGGAATACTCTCATTGGTGGCTACGTGCAAAATGGAGACAAAGATAAAGGATTCTGGATGTTTCGGCGTAGCAATCTCTGCACCTTAAACCAAATTCCTTTACCATTTTGAGCATTTTGCCTGCATGTGCTAATTTGATTGCTGTGAGCAAGGTGAAAGAGATAAACTGTTGTGTGATATGCAGAAACTTGGACTCTGAATTGTCAGTTTCAAATTCTTTAGTGGATACGTTTGCCAAATCAGGTAATATAGAATACTCCATAGCCGTATTCAACAGCTTGTTAAGGAAAGATATAATCTCCTGGAACACCCTCATTGCTGCTTATGTTATTCATGGTCGTCCAAGTGACGCCATTGAGCTCTTTGCGCAGATGAAGACCACAGCAATATCACCAAATAGAGGTACTTTTGCTAGTATGATTTCAGCATATGGTTTAGCTGGAATGTTTGATGAGGGGAATCATCTTTTCTCTGAAATGATAAGGGATTGTGATATCTCGCCTGATTTAGACCATTATGCAGCAATGGTTAATCTATGTGGACGGTGTGGTAAGCTTGAAGAAGCAGTTGAGGTCATTAACAACATGACCATTGAGCCTAATTCTTCCATATGGGCTGCTTTACTTACTGGAAGCAGTGTCCAGGGGAATACTAAACTGGCAATATATGCTGCGGAACGCTTACTGCAACTGGAACCAGAAGATGCCGTGATCAATAGGTTGGTCTTACAGTTATATGGTTTATGTGGGATTGCTCAGGGTTCTGTAGCATCACAGAAGTTTAAAAAAAGGAAAGATTCTGAAGAAGCTCATGGCTGGGGCTGGATTCGAGACAAAAACACGGTTCGCTTGTTTGTCGGTGGGAATTGTAGCAAACAGATAAGTGGAGTGATGGATACTTGGATAGACCGCATGGGCATTAAGAGGAGGAGATCCGATTACTCAGATTGGCTGCCTATTGAGGAGGACGAGAGTGAAGAAACTAATGGGATTCATAGTGAAAAACTGGCATTTGCTTTCGCCCTGTCTAAAGCTACGGGGGCATCTCGGCCTGTTCGAGTAGTTAAAAATGGCAGGATGTGCAAAGGTTGTCATGATATTGCCAAGTTTATATCTTACACATGTCGGTGTGACATATATCTGAATGACTCAAAGTGCTTGCATCATTTTAGAAATGGTCACTGTTCTTGCAAAGATTATTGGTAGGCCTGGGAAAAATCAGCCCCTTTTCTCTTCTGTTGATACACAATTATACTTTCAAGCAACTCCCAGAGACGGGATGAAGCGCTCTACCAGGAGGTAAATACATTAAAATGACCAGACGCGATATCTGATTAACTACAATTTTAATCTTGTATGTACAGAGTTGACACAAGTCTTAACAGTTGTATATTGTTCAAGCATCACGATCATAGAGGCGTGGAAATAGCTTCAGGTTGTGGAAATGTACAGTGTATATGCTAATTTCAATAGTATGAAAATGATACGAACTCTGTTCTTTCCTTCTTGACATTATTAGCAAATAGCTGCATCTTAGGGACATGAATGTAGTAGTTATCTATCAGAAGACAGATAGGACTTTATTGTTAAAGTGAAGAATGAGAATCAAATCCTTTTTCTTCCGTCCTGTAAAGTCAGCTGATTTTGTTTCTAGATTGTGACAATTTACACTGGACATAAAACACACGATGCACTCCCCCAGCATCTTTTCTTTTTTTGGTCGAAAAGCAAACAAATTTGTATTACTGAAGGTTAGCTGCCTTGATCTCCTTGATCAAGAGGTATATCGGTTCTAGGAGCAAAGATATGCACTCCCCGAGCATCTTATTGTTTTAAAAAAAGTGTAATCAACTTAGCAGGATTATATTCCAGAAGTGGGGGCTGCAATTGAACAATTAAAGTTAAAGCCATCTGCCGTTTAGCTGTATTGCAGTCATGAATCTTAAGAATTCCAGAAGATGAAGTAATCGGTCACTTATACTGGCAGGTGGCAGGGCAACCGTGCATTTGGAATTGGGAAAGATAGGATTCTGAATCTTTAGAAAGTGATTTTTTCACATTTTTGTGGAATCATTGTAGCATCAAACATCTCTTGCACTTGCTTTAACATTTGTGAAAAGAATCCAATTCTGTTTCTTTTGTCATTTTCTCTTTCAAAGTGGAAATCCGTAATTTATTTCCATGGAACATTTCACCATCCTTTTTTGGCTACTCATTTTTCAGGGGCTTCATATATAAGCATCATAAGAGCAGTAAAAAGACATCACTTCAGCTGTTATCTGAGGACTCTACTGTTGTGCAATTTTTTTTGAAGATGGTCAGCATAATAGTTTTTCTGCATGTTAACTTTTGACGATTTACATATTGTAACATAAATCACCGGAATTCATTGTTTTCAGGATTATGGAAAATCCCATACCATTTCTGTTGGTCCATGGGGAGGTCAAGATGGGTATCATTGGGATGACGGAGTATATACGGGCATAAGGCAATTAGTGATATCTCATGGAGCAGGAATTGACGCCATTCAGATTGAATACGATAGAAATGGGACCTCAGTCTGGTCAGATAAGCATGGTGGAAGCGGTGGGACTAATATTGACAAGGTGAGTATGTTTTCGCATTTAGTATAAGTACATTTTCTCTTGTTGGAATGTGGCTCATGTGTACAGAACTTGCAGGTCAGGCTGGACTATCCGGACGAATTTCTAACTTCAATCCATGGATATTACGGAAGCTTGCATGAACGGGGACCTGCCTTTGTCCGGTCTCTGGCTTTTGAGAGCAACAAAAGAACATTAGGTCGGTATGGTATTGAACAAGGGACATATTTCTCATTTCCTATGACTCAAGGCAAAATTGTTGGGTTCCATGGAAAGTGTGGGTGGTATTTAGATGCGATTGGAGTTTATTTGGAGCCTATCACAAGTACTAAACTAATAATACCATCAAATTCTTTGGTTCATTCACAACGATCTGCTTTCCAAGGGGTGGAAAAATTTGAATATTCGATGTTACAAGGAAATGGTTATGATTTGATTCTCGCAGTTAGGCACAAGGAGAGGTATTATAATGGCAATTATACTCCGGACCATCTGTCGAGACAAAGTTCTGCCTCTGGGGAGTTCGATCATAGTGACACCCAACAACTTGTGAAGCACAATGGTAATCTGAATCAGGAAAACCTATCAGGACAAACTTCTGACTCCAGAGAGTTTAGCCGTGCTCAATCTCAAAACAAGGTACAAAATGTATCCAACTCAATGCTAATTAGGAAAGCAGAAACGGGGCACAAAATCACTTAGACATCGCATGTTCATAACACTGTTCTTGTCCTTTTTTTGGATTGTGTATATTGGTCCTTGTATATCATAAAACATACACAATTCTTATCATATTCGCTTGATACTGTTACTGTTGATGCTGTTCTGATAAGCAATCATATCCCAGCTTGTGAATGCAGCCCCAGCGAAAATAGAGAAAGTGGCCTCAAGAAATTCTCAAGATGTTGTGACATATGGACCATGGGGTGGTAATGGTGGCAGCCTCTTTGATGACGGGGTCTATGATGGAATCAAGGAAATTCATCTCTCGCGTAACGTGGGAATTGTATCCATAAGAGTGTGTTATGATCTGAATGGACAACCTGAATGGGGAGACAAAAATGGTGGTACTGGTGGATTCAAGTCTGATAGGGTAACCTCTTTGCTGGCTGGCCATTTTTTCCAATTTCTTTTTGTCAAACAACCATTAGCAATGATGAAGCATCTGCTCAAACTTTTGCAGATTGTCTTTGATTATCCATCCGAAATCTTGACTCACATAACAGGATACTATGGACCTGCCATGGGAATGGGGCCGAACATCATCAAATCTTTAACTTTTTATACCACAAAAGGGAAATATGGCCCCTATGGAGATGAACAAGGACAACCATTTTCGACCAAACTGAAAGAAGGCGCGATTGTGGGATTTCATGGCAGGAAAGGATTATTTGTTGATGCAATTGGTGTTCATTTGTTAGAAGGGAAAGCCCTGCCCGTGCATGTATCAAACTCGACATCCAACTCCATTATCCTAAAAAGTCTGCCCAACAACACAGAAGTCAATAACAAACCTCAATGGTCATTCAGACTTAGAAAATATGGATTAATGGGGGAGGTATGCAACAATGCATATTCACAGTTACATTGTTTTTTTTTTCCAGAAAAAGTATGAACTGAATGGCCTTCTAAAATGTATGTCAAAATATGTTGTTGTAGGCTGTGCAGAAGATTGTGAAAGATCCAGCTCCATTCGGACCAGGTCCTTGGGGTGGTGAGGGTGGAAAACCATGGGATGACGGAGTCTTCACTGGAATCAAACAAATTATCTTGACAAGAACAGATGCCATCTGCAGCATAGAATTTGAGTACGATCGAAATGGGCAATCTGTTTGGTCTGTAAAACATGGCAACAGCAGTGGCCTACCAGGAAACAGGGTAAAAGATCAAAACTCATAACTACATTTTCTTGCAAGAAGACTTCTTTCCTGTGTCCATACTTACGAAAAACCTTTTTTTTTTTTTTTTTTCCTGCACAGATAAAATTAGACTACCCTCATGAAGTTCTGATTCGCATCAGTGGATATTACAGCCCTCTTCGTAATGGCCAAGGAACAAAGGTAGTGAAATCTTTAATGTTCTATACAAGTAGGAGGAACTATGGTCCATTTGGTGAAGAGGTGGGACAGTATTTCAGTTCAGCAACAACAGAAGGGAAGGTGGTTGGGTTCCATGGGAGGAGTGGGATGTACTTGGATGCCATTGGAGTTCATATGCAACACTGGCTAGGAAATCAAAGATCACCCAAGTTATCACTCAGGAATATTTTCTATTAAGAGCTTTTTTTTTTCTGTTCCTTTTCTCCATTGCCTGAGATCACATTAGGAACAATAGGAACACTGTAATGTCAGAAATTGCTCGAGTGTATTTAGTGTCAATTACTATAAGGTAAGTTCTGGTCTACCATGTAAGTTCAGCAACTTTAACACTGAATATTAGCTGGCCAATGACAATAACAAGTTGAGAAGTTTGCCCAGATGGAGAACCTGGACCTGCTGATTTTTATTTTATTTTATTCTTTTTCCCCTTTGCTGATTATTGATTCCAGATTTGAATCAGTTTATCACTTCGACAAGAAATGAGAGATGCATTTGGAAAAGTTTAAGGCACCTCAATGAACGTTATTATTTAATTTAATTTTATTTTATTTTTATCAAACGAGATTAGTACTTTACATTGCTTCAAAGTTCCAATCTTTGGAACTAGATTACATCATAAAGACAAAACAATCTGGACGACTAACGGATTGCCCAGCAGAACAATGTTGTTAAACCTCAAAACGGACACACAGACACACATTATAGGAATATAACACACATGATATAAAATGATCAAAACATCAAAAACCATGGACAACAATGTATGCAATTTAGCCAGAGATGTCAATAGCTTTAACCTCAGGCTTCTTCACTTCATGTTTAGGAACAGTCACAGTGAGGACACCATTCTCCATGCTAGCCTTAACCTGATCCACCTTGGCATTCTCAGGAAGCCTAAACCGGCGCAGGAATTTCCCACTGCTTCTCTCCAGACGATGCCATTTATCATTCTTCTCTTCCTGCTCACGGCTTCTTTCCCCACTGATCTGCAACACTCTGTTTTCTTCAACTTCCACTTTGACTTCCTCCTTCTTCAGGCCCGGAAGATCAGCTTTAAACACATGGGCTTCCGGGGTTTCTTTCCAATCGATCCGGGCATTAGCGAATGCTGTGGTATCCCTTGTTGTGTTGGAGACATTGGCAACGGTGTTGTTGGAGAATGGAAAACCTTCAAAGGGATCCCAAATGTCTAGAGAGAATGGATCGAAGACGTTGCTTCGTCGGCCACCGAAAAAGCTTGGAATCAGCGACATGTATTGATACAAAACTGATGAATAGAAAGCGCTAAGGAAAGAGTGTATCAAAGAAGAATGGGATTTTGATTTAGCTGTTATCGGATTACAGAATGCTTCGAGTTATCTTTGCTGGTTCTTCTCACGATTTGAAGATGGTGATAGATATATATATACACATATAGGAAGCAGAATGATGGGTCTAGTGTGTTCTGGCGGTTTCCTTTTCCTTTCCGATTGAGAATCTTCTAAGTATGGCCTCGAGGCCTTTCTATAAGCTTCTGTAACCTTCGCTGGGCCTATATCCGCCCACTGGATTGTTTAACTTCGGCCTCATATATTAGGAGCCCAAATGGTTAACTCTACAAGTATCCGTCCCAAAATAAATAATTGCCATGTTTCATGAGTACTAATTACTAGTATTTGTTTGTGTTTGATCCTTGACTATAACTGAAGAGAAATCCTCAACTTAAAAAGGATATATCAAGTAAAACGCCATAACCCATGGTACACAATTGCAGAACGAACACTTCAACGGCCAATGAACAAATATAAAGCTGCAAGTGAGATACAGGAAACGAAGAAAAATTATACACTTTCATAGCCCCTGATTCATGGGAAACGAGCGTTTCATATTCAGTAGAACCACAAATACATTCTCATGATACTATACAAGAGCACACCAGAGATCCTGATCTTAGAGCAGATTATATATATTTGCTTTTAATTTAGAAAGGCCTCAACCAGCTAGCACCTTCAAATAGCATGTTCTTGGTTACTAATATAGTCTGTAGTCAACCTTCCTAATCTTATGAAAAGGACAAAAACAAACTCTCTCAACCCCAGGTATACGCTTGATGGTTATGTTTGTTTACATCGACCGGTAACCTTGAATACTTATACTTTATCATCATGGAACCACCATCGTGTCTCCTTTGGCGATCTCCCATTCCTACAATTCTTCACATAGCGATCGTTATCTGCTGGACGTTGCTGTGAGGGGAAAAAAAAAAAAGGAAATGCCTTGTTAGGTACATTTACTAATCAAATTACTTCTGGAGGAGCAGAATGATTGATTACAGGGGATACATACCTTCACTGTTGAGCTTGACAACATGGAGAGGATACTAATACATATGGAACTAACAGTCATTGCTGGAGACCAGGAATCATACAATATATCTGCAACAACCAACAACATTTAGATGAGAAACAAAAGTGCAAAACTCCTGAACCGAACAGCTATCTAACAAAAGAAACCACTGAGATGATCCTTGATAGTCTTCTGAAGTTGACTCAGCTATAATCAATCAAATCTAAGTTTTCAATAGGTAATTGAATTTCTCTCTAATATCATAAAGTATTAACCTTCCAAACACCAGAGTATCAGATCATGTATTGATTAATGAAATCAAAACCATCAAGATATCCCTTGTTTACGTCATATAAGATAATTGAAATAACGACAGCAAATAGTCTGGAAGTAAGAAGAATCTCTAAGAGGAAAAAACTGTAACTCCTCAGGAAAATTCCAATTTTCCAACAAGTTTGATATATAACTCGGACACAGGTTTTGCAAATAAGATTCATGACTTGGACTAAATAGCACATCAATATTGAAGCCAGTAAATGTAATTGTTACAATACAAGTGCAAGCATTCGGACTACATATACGATAAGATGAGAACAAGGCCAAACTTTTTGAAGGACTATTGCGAGGCTTTTGAGATCTTTTCAACAAGAACTGGATTGTAACAATTGATATTTCTAAATTTCTATAGTAAAGAAAACTTTGAGGTGAACTCCCGAGCAGAAATAAAGAATATGACCACTACCAATATCACATGTTCCTCACAACCCTTGTGTCAATATTTTGTAAGGGGCCCTTGAAATGTCATAGACAACAACAGGGGCATTGCCTCCATTTATTCAAGAAAAAGGACAGCTTATGTAGTGACGTGTCCGCAAGTACATTAAGCATTACTATTATGTAGTTGCTATCAAGAATTAAGGTAGAGCCAAGGGTCGCAGTCATCACACACTTCAAAATGATAAGTTCACTCCAAAAAATCAACCTAACAACAGTCAAAAGGAGAACTAAACTCCAGGTATCAACCATTAGCAAGTATGAAACGCGATAAAATTTGTGCAACTCTGATGTAGTCAACTTCATTCATGGGGATAGCCTATAATGAAACAATAAAAAAAGGTCTGGATGAGGACCATCATGGTTATGCCTAACTACAAAGTGTCAATTGCTACACAATGCATTTTCATCATGTCATAAAGCAGCTGCAAATTCGATATTCTCATAGCACTCAGTTCTTTCCTCCACTAGGAAAAAGCATCAACCAATTTCTTACCATCATTCAGAATGATAAAAATACAGAAGTAAGATACACAAATAAAATTAGCTGTGATATGCAATTTCATAAACTCACCTAAACAAATGTGTCCATTGCTATATATATGAGGGTGGAGTGGAGCGGGTGGAAGAAAAATAACCTGTTTTGAAAAGAAATAGGACCAGAAAGGAGAGATGAAAACGGAATCAGAATGAACTCAAACAATCACCTCGACTAACTGCCAGGCTAAAGATTTTCAAGTGAGACCAAAAAAAAAAAAAAATTCCATAATTATTACAACATGAAATGAACAAAAAGAACAAACTCCAAGCACATTTCGTACATTAAATTCCACAAAAAAAAAAGAGTCGCGATCAAGAATCAAAACATAAATAGGAGAATTGACCTGAGGGGCTTCCATGGGGTAATGTTCAGGAAAATCAACCTGGAGCTGATAAGTTTCGTTAGCATACAGAGTCCCGGGTGCGCCGTTGACTTCTATGACCCACCTACACTCCCACCATCATCAAAATTCATGAAATTAAAACTCAATTTTCCAATAGTAATTAGTGTTTGCCAAAAAAAGGTTGAATTGATTTAATGGACGAAAAAAATAAGAGAAAAAAAAAAAAAACCTCTGCAAATTATCAGTAACTTTGTGCTTAAATCCAGCGGGAGGATTCACCTGCCACTCTACCAGCTCTTTCTGTAACCGATTGCACGCGATCTTGCTCAAACCCTATCATCGTTCGTATCAATGGGCCGAAGTCAAACAAAACACTCCAATTATAACCACCAACAAAATAAGCAGGAAAAAGAAATGGTTACAAAATTGGAAACATACAAAGACCAGAGATTCTCTCCCATTTTCTACGCATTATAAGAAACAGATGCAAAATTAGTATACCTTACGAGCAGAAGGGGAAGGAGAAGTCATGGCGTCGGAATAACAAGAATAAAAATTTCGTTGCAGAAAGAAAAAGTCTATTGAGAGAGAGAGAAATGTGTGTCTTTGTGTGTGCGCGACCAACTGGGAAGAGTGGCGATGACGGTTTAATTTTTAGATGCATTTTGTTTTGTAATTCCTAAATTGTTTCTTTTTTTTTTCTTTTCTTTTTTTGTATGTTAGGACTATAAAAGTAAACAGACTTAAAAAGTTTTTAAGAAAAACTAACGAAATTAGGTAAATTTCGAAACTACAAACTTTTAAAAGTTACATATTTTATCCAAAATACAAATAATAATTACATATTTTGGAGTATTATCCAAAATACATATTTTATTGACGGTAATTAACCCATACAAATAAAATTCGGAAAAGGTCATTTATTGATTTGTCATTTGCAGGAAATGAATAAATCCATCCATAGAACATCCTGGTGGAATCATATTCTTTCTTTACTTTTCGTCCCAATTTGAAAATACACTTTAATTATACTTCCAGCCATCTCGTCATACTGTACTTAGTTAAATTAAAGCATGTAACTAATTATATTAAAACATTATCATACTGTATTATACCTCAAGAAACCAAATATTATTGTGAGCTGACCATTCATTAATCATTACTAGTCTATTAACGCATTAATCATTAGAATATGTGAGATGCTGAGCAAGAATCTAAGATGGGAAAAGCAAAAGACAAAGATGAACATTGAAATATCTCGATTACAGAACCCGTCTGGAGTAAATAAAAAAGAGAGGACAAAATGGATCAATATACTAACAATAGCTTTGTCATCTAATTGTAATTCGACTTTCTTCAACCTTCTATTTTGTGCATCAAAAAGAGACATTCGAATTGCATCCATTTCTGCAGCCAATTCACTCTGTGAAGATATTCTAAATACTCCTTTTGCCCACAACACCTCCTCTTTCTCCTCCTAACTACTCATCCCCATTCCCACCCTTCCTGTACCTTTACATCTAATAGACCCCATATTTAAGCGCACTTTTCCTTGTTCTGGTGGCTTCCAACATTCCCCTTTGTCCCTAAATACTCCTGTTGTAACCCCCTTCTTGTTTTGCACTTCTTTAAAATCCAATCACTCCTTCATTGCATTCTGAATGACATCCAGTACAACCATGTTTTTATTTTCAAAATTCCATTTGTTTCTAGCCTTCCAAACCTGCCATAGGATATTGACTGTAACTTCCACCCTAGCCTGAAACCCCTCATTCATGTGCCCTTCACAAACCTTATCCCACCATTCCTGAAAAGACCTGGTCAATGAGTGAATGCCAATCCATTGCCCTGGAGCTATTTGCCACACAAAGCTTGCCTCCCTACAATGAAAAAACATATGTTCAATCGTCTCAGCTGTCTCTCCACACCTCCTACACATTTCATCAATTCTAACACCCCTTTTTACCAATTTGTCACCTACTACCAACCAACCATTATAAGCCCTGAACAAAAAGTTTTTCAGTTTAGGCTTGACAGTAATCTTCCATGTCTGTTTCCATGTCCTCCGTCCCCGTTCATCAGCTATTGCAGAGCCCTCTTGTCCTTCTCTTCCAACCTGCAACTTTTGAGCTAGTTTGCTTGGGTGAAAGGCATGGGCATGGCAAATGGTATGCTAATAAACGTAGTTTCTAGCAAAAAGAAGAATGCTGTTTTGATGAGATGCTGTAAAGGGGGACAGGTATCAGTTGATGATGGTGAATACTATGTCCCATCAGATTCGAAGACACAAATCACTGGGTGTAAATTTAAGTTATATGTGCACTTAGTTGATGGGAAGTGGCGCATTCGGGTGTATCCTGGTGAGTTTGGAATGCATAACCACGAGCTATTTGACGAAGATCATCCCACGAGGGGCCTTAGCGATGGAGTGAAACAACTTATACATGGTATGTCTAAAGATGAGTGTAGACCGTGTCAGATCATGGCTGCGATTGAGAGGATCTTTCCTGATGAAAAAAGTTAACAGACGGCAAGTGTATAATTTCAGGAAGAAATTGCGTAATGAGGGGTTCCCGGTCTTGGGTGAATCGAGTGCCATGGATGTCGTGACGAAGACACTATCCTGGTGAGTTTGGAATGCATAACCACGAGCTATTTGACGAAGATCATCCCACGAGGGACCTTAGCGATGGAGTGAAACAACTTATACAGGGTATGTCTAAAGATGAGTGTAGACCGTGTCAGATCATGGCTGCGATTGAGAGGATCTTTCCTGATGAAAAAAGTTAACAGACGGCAAGTGTATAATTTCAGGAAGAAATTGCGTAATGAGGGGTTCCCGGTCTTGGGTGAATCGAGTGCCATGGATGTCGTGACGAAGACACTATCGGTGGCCAAGCATCATGGTTACATCATCATGACAGATTGCAATCAGGAGAAGGTGTGCTGACTCGTGTTTTTTTTGCACATTCTGATGCTGTCAATTTATTTTGCAGTTATTTCTGGGTCGTCGGGATAGACTCAACATACAAGACGAACAAGTACAAAATGCCGTTGGTTGAGTTTATTGGGATGACACCGTGCAACCAGAACTTCCTGATTGCATACGCTCTCTTGAGTGACGAGACTGCTGACAGTTATTATTTGACTTTGAGACAGTTTAGGGATTTACTTCCTGGGCATCTGTCTTCGGCTGTTATTGTTACTGATCGGGAACCGGGGTTGATGGCGCCGCTGGGTATGGTATTTCCAGATTCATGCCACTTGTTGTGTGTTTGGCACGTTTATGAGAATATAAAGCGACATCTCAACAAGGAATTGAAAATTGATGCCAAGATTGCAAATGGTTTTGCATATGGGTGTTGGAAAAGACGTTATGGAATCTAATAATCAGGATGAGTACAATAAAGCTGTTGCCGTAATAAACCATCGTTGGCAGTCTTTTCCGAGAGTTCTTAATTATATCCGGAAGACATGGCTAGTGGTTGACTACAAATTCGTCAAGGCATGGACGAATGTTGTGTTTCATATGGGCAACACTACTACAGGTAGGGTGGAGAGCGCGCACAAGCAGTTAAAAACTTAGCTGGAAACATCCACGGCGTCGCTGGATACACTTTGGGCTAAGGTGCACTTGGAAATTCAGAGTCAATTAACCGAAATACGGTAAGTTCTATTTCATTATATTCTATTTATTATAATATATTTAGTATTTATTTTGTTTTTATGGCATTTTACGTAGAATGTTTTACAGCAAATGGCTACATTCAGGTACAAACTGGAGTACTCAAGACAGAAAATTCGCACCCATTATTGCGGTTTTCCACTGAACCGCTTGAAGTGTCAAGTTTCACATACATGTTTACAAAAGCTGAACACTGAGTGGTCGAAGGCGCAAGAGTGGAAATAAGAAACGAATGACCGATGCGATCATGTGGTATACTGGACTTGTCGAATTCCATGTGCGTGCGCCCTCAAAAAGGCTGCAGATGCCGGCACATCGATCACACTTAAGCATATTCACCCATTATGGGCGACTCTTCATATCGGTGAACAGGCTGGTACGAGTGCTCCTAGCGATGTGGATGACGAGGTCCTTTATACCAGACAGTTGATGGAAGAGTTGAACGAGTGTCCTAAGGCAGTACGATGCATGGTAAATAGGGCTCTCCACGATATTATGCATCCAGACCAGTGTAGGTTCAAACAACCCGAGGAGGTCAAGAGAAGGAAGGGGCGGCCTAAGGGGGCTAAATCAAAGAAAAAAGCAGAGGCCAACACTCTTGCCCATGAACAATCCCCACAAAAAAAAGCAACACCTAATGTGTGGGATTACAAGGACGAGGCTCAAGGAAAGTCGACCACAATTACTAGCGATTCAAGTAAGAAGAGCCCCTCGTCTTCAGGTGGTCGTACAGATGCATCCACAGGTACATGTTAAGAAGTAATTGTTGCGTCCATTATTTATTTATTATCAATTGTTCCAAATAACATTTTTTCCGTGTAATGTACATATATCTTTGCGAGTGATATTTCATAATATAGTTGCTACGACCTCATTCCATGGCCCATTCGGCCATATATTACCAGTTACCTTGATGTTGGTGCCGATGGTAATTGTGGATTTCGCGCCATCACGAGTAACATGTTTTTGTGCCAGGACAAGTGGGCGATGGCGAGAGAGGCAATGACGAATGAGCTAGAACAGAATTGGCATTTGTACAGTAGAATCTACGGGTATAAATACTTTTCATTTTCTATGTTATGATGTTTGCTGAACTTGGCAGTATTTTCCACAAATAATTGTATATGTGAATGCAGGACGTCCTGCCAGGAAGAAGTCAGTCGTATACGGTGGAGTGGACAAGGTTTTGCACCTGATCGCCATTGGATGTGTACGACGGACTTGTTCGTAGTTGCGACTATGAACAATGCAATTGTGTACTATTTCGGTGCAGGGGAAGAGAACCAGTCGCTAAACAGCTCTTGTTGGACTATACTACCTGTCACTGCACTCGGTGAGGCAACATGTCCGGCATATGAGATTGGGGTATGTCACCTTGGTATTTACAAGCACTTTATTCGGATCAATTTGGACGGTGACTTTCCAGTTCCACCGATCAATAATTGGTGGACTAAGGAACATCAATCTAACGTTGCTGGTTGGGAATTACCACTTCTTCCTAGAATTAAAGATTGGTATAGGTTGGTCCCCTCCAATCTTGGACGTCCTGTCGAGGATTATGCTAATGATTTCATTGATCTTAGTTTCTTAGATTAGATTCATGTTTGTTTGTTTGTTGTGAACTAGATATTGGTATTATCTAGTATCTAATTTATTTGTTTTTTTTGATTCGTGCAATAACAAACCTTATTGGCCACTAAAAAAAAAAACTTACCACATGGACACCAAAAAAGCTAACTAATACATAACACACAATTTGCGCATAAAAAAAACTAAATGCAGTCCAAGAAACAGAAAAACAAACAAATCCAGTCCAATAATACGACAATGACAATGATCATGGGGCCTTGTAATAACAGATCATCGTATCCTGCAACTTCTCATCATATTCGTCAGCCAGGTCGCGATCGGAGACTTTGACCTTTCTAATCAGGTCCGTCGTCAGCTTCCT